CGTACGTACATGGCATTATATTGTCTCTTCTATAAAGAAAGATCCCATCAAGTCCAGTAATCCACATGGCCATACATACATATACAGGTACAAACACACATGTCTAATAATCGCATCTCTAATTAGACTGTTAAAACATGGATGATTTAATAAATTAGGATCCCAGACGGCGAGAGGCTGTGGATTATGTTGCCGCGAGGGCAGAGGGAACGTGGGTCTCGGCTGTTTATTATAATTAGGGAGTGGAAAATTCTCAGTATGATCATATTCACATCTACAAGGACCTTTACTACGTACTTACCAGAATAAAAGAAATTATAGTTAATACTCTAGCTAGCTACGTACGTAATAATAAATAGCCATTCTAATGAAAATCATTTTGATTCCTCCATGTTAGTCCTACTATCTCAATAGATGTCGTTAGTTTATAATAAGATAATTATTTATAATGGTCATAGAACTTTTGCATTTGTACCAACTGGTCATCTAAACTTCTATAAAAAAAATTCAGAATGGTGGTACAATTTTGAAGTTGTAACAAAATTATCATTTTCGTGTATCTTAGTAAAACTAGCATAAGGCTCGGTTTAATGGCCGGAGAGATCTATGGTTATATAACTTTTATGTGTTACTCACACTAATGATTTGTTTTTGTTCGTTATTTTGCAATGAGCTATCTAGGAAAATACTCTCAAACTACTTTGCAGGGGCCGAGCCAGGATTTCAAGACCAGGGGACGAAAATAATTAAATAAAAAAGTTATATTATTTTAGAAGTACACGACGTTCTTTGAGATTATTGAAATCACTCAAAATAACATCCAGACTAAAACTTTTAACTATCACTTTTTCATTTTGGTTTTGGGAATGGTAATGGAAATTGGAATTAATTAAACTAAATAAAAGAGGGGGTTTGGTGGAATCGACTCCTTCGGGGATCACCTGGACGATATAGGATGAGGAGTGACGATGATGGGACGATGATAACGAAGTCAAACAATCAAGAAATGAGGGCTAAAATATGTGTAATTGAAGAGCAATACCCGAATGAAGCCTTCTCATATTAAAACAAACACAATTTACTTTCTTTGTTTATTTACAATTGTAGTTCTTTAGCTTTTAACTCCAAATCGTTTGCTAGATAACAATTTAAGCGATTGAAGTAGGAGTAAATGTAGAAAGGAAGTACTAGTGACATGGTTTGGTGATTGATTGTGGTTTGGAATGGAGAGAAGTGTGGGTTTTGGCCGATGCTAGTGGCCTTTGCTTGTAGAAGAAGGTTTTAGTCAAAACCATAGAATTTTGTTTTGCTTTTAGGTTGAAGATGTGGAACCTCATGTTATGTTTTCCACCACCCAAAAAATCCTTTTCACCATGTCCTAGACCCTAGCTAGTCATTTGAAACTGTGCCTAAAACCTCCAGACAAACTAGCAACGAAACCCATCTTGTGAGCTCTAGAATTTAGAGGCTATCATCATGTTAAATGGACGCCAGGATTGAGCGTGAATATTCACATCTTTTGCATCAAATGATCCTGGCCCCAGTGGTCGAGTGTGAGTGATTCGTTCTTCATGCTTTTATTCATATCTTGTACCCTGGTGAGGACCTAGGTTGCTCGATCGTTTTTTCCTATGATATGATCCTCATGCATGGGTAACTGTGATTAGTGAGTCGTCGTGACAGGTTGTGTGTTGGTTGATGAATACTATGAGAACTCTTCATTTGCACAATCTTAATACATTTGAATGTCATTTATTGTGGTTTCCATGATTACTTTGTTTTTTTCCATAGGTCGGTGTAAAATAACCATTGTGATTCATTTGTTTTGTGCCCTATGACATGCTTAAATTTTTTTTGTTGAAAAAGAAGTTGTGAGCTTAGCTTGTTTTGTATTTGGTTTGCTTGGGGACAAGTAAACATTCAAGTGTAGGGGTGTGATTCGGGTTCTTAATGCATTCGAATTTTATTTGTGGTGGTTGCCAGGATGGCCTATTATTGTCCATATATCGGTGCCAAATAGACATTTCAAATCCATTCGCTTTGTGCCCTTTGACATATCCCCAAGGTATGATGTTTACGCTGAAAAATTATCTTGTTTGAGATTGGTTTGCTTGTGGACAAGCAAACATCCAAATGTGGGGGAGTTTGATTCGCGCTTAATTACACATGTTCCCACCCCATATTCTGGAGATATTTGGGGCGTTTACATCGCATGAGGTTCGATTTTATGCTAGGGTGTGCATGTTTTTAGCATGTTTCAGATCTTAGCATGTGGAATTGACCTCGGGAGTGAAAGTTGAACGAAAGAGGGCGAAAAAGGAGTGAAATTGACAAAAAGGAAGAATTCATGGCCAGAGGAGCATTATCATGGCTGGAGACCGTGACAATTGTGCCCAGGCCATGAAGATTGATAGGATCCAGGATCTTGAGCACACCTCAAGGGCAAGTCGAAGTTCACGAGCGTGACAATCGCTCGACTGGAGTATAAAAGGAGGAGGGAGCTCAAACAAAGAAAAGAGGATTTCTAGAGTGACATTTGCTTCTTCTTCTTGAGCTAGAAATAGAAAGTCACAAACCAAAGGAGGAAGAAGGAGTTCTTGACCTACCCAAGGATTGAAGAGTAGAGATTTCCCCTCCAAGGAGGCAATCCAAGCAACTAGGGGTGAAGAGAAGCAACTTACCATGGTTTTTCACTCTTCTTTGTTGTATTCCTCTTCTTAGTCATGGAGTAGTTCTCGAATTCACTATGGTGTTGTGAACCCTAGACTAGAGATGTGATAGATTGTATGGACTGAATGCTATGTGTGTGAGTTTGTGTTTAATACAATGTTTGAGTTAATTTTCAGAATTCTTGAGTATTGTTCTTCATATCTCATTAGGTCAAATTGACCTAGGTGGAGGAAATCCCCTTTTGGGCTTTAAGAAGCTCGAATTCTTGACCACTTGGGTCACCCCATAAGGCAATTGAGGGCAAGTCTCAAACATCAATTTAGTGACATGAACCAAACATGATTGGTTGTTTTTCGTCATCGATATTAGTTTCCGAGGGAGTGATCTTAGCAACCCTTAGTCGATTAGTCAAGAGAGCTAGTTTTCTAGCTTAATTCAATGTTCCTTGATTAATCATCTAATAGAGCGAAGCCAAGAGCAGAGATCCTTGCCTAGAAACCATCGTCGGTCGGACTACACAAAGATCCATGTTTTTTTTTTACCAAAGATCCATGTTGATGTGGCGATGATAGGGCCTGAGATTTTGGTGTGGGTCAGTGGCGGAGGGAGGTAAGGAGGCGAGGGGTCCTAGGACCCCACTTGGCAAACAATTGGGCAACAAAGCCCTTTAAATACATAGGTTTTAGTACGATAATTCAAATTTAGGACCTCATACTCTCAACGATGTTAGCTCACCAAGGACCCCGGTTAACTCAAAATTCATTAGATACATAAGCATTAGTGTTAGTAAATTTTAAAGGACCCCAGTACACTCAATGTCTGGCTACGCGACTGATGTGGGTGGCATAATGAACAAGGGATATGAAAATTGGTGGTTGTTACTTGTTAGACGAGAAAGGGCGCAGTGTTTATGGAAAGTGACTGCCATAGCTTAATTTACAAGCTGCATAAAGAAGATTGGGCAACTGGGGCAATGAACTCGAAGCTAAAGGCCTGAGATTGGGCTCAACTGAGTGGGTTTTCACGAAAGGAGCTTGCAACGGAACAACTCATTTGATGGTCCATAAGATTCGTAATTTAGATCCACAGATCCATCACTTGTACTGTTTCAATGAGCATCTACAGGTAAATTATATAACAAAATTATAGAAATAAATAGAGTAAATGTCGTTTATTAGTCAAAATTTTCAACTTTAACAAGGTGATATGGTTGTATGGCAGTTTATAATGGTGGTATGCATGATAGTGTGAATATATTAACCGTTATTGATCACATTTCATCATCATCGACCACCAATTATCATCCTATATCATGGTGGTATAGGACATATCTTTGGTCCTAAATTTTTTTCCAAAAATTTGTAAATTCAATAAATTACGATGAATATGTTCCTTCTGACAAAATTTCTCAAAATTTGAGTGAAAATGAAAGGGGTACAAGTGTTGTAATGTTAGATATGGGTGGTACAAAAAAAAATTATTCTCAAAATATATTTATAATATATAATTTTGTAGATTACAACAAACTCGTTTCATATGGGCAAACCAAATTTGAAATCTAAGTTACTAAAGGAAGATACAAACTGAATAAAAATTGTAGGGAAAATGTCTCTAATCTCTTAGATCTGACTCCTATTAAAATTAAGAGGTCAGATCTGATTATACATAAGTGCATAACAAGTAGTTAATGATCTTATGCTACAACGAAATTTTGGGAATAAATCATAAACTACAAGAATTGCAAAAATAAATTCCAACAATACAACATTTATGAAAATATTAGCCGTCCAAAACCACATAACTAAACATACAAATAGTTTCCTTAAAAATTTTTATAAATGTTGTACTTTTGGAATTGTGTTCTTAGAATCTTGGTTGGGCCTCTGGTTTGGTCGTTGTATCCATGTCTAATTGTCTTGTTTGGGCCTTTGAAACATGTTTTCTAGACTTTTGTTGTAAACATGGACACATGGTTGGATCTATACGTTGGCTTAGGCCCATTTACTTAACTTAATGAATGGAGAAAAAAATAGGCCAAGCGGTCTTAAAGTAGTTGAATCATGATTTCATGAGTAAAATTTTGAACAAACTTTTTTTGTTTTGCCATAGGCAGATAATAATTGACAGAAGTTACGGATGGTTCAAAAATAAAATGCAGTAGCAACTAGCAACCAAATGTGGAGCTACCAAATTAATAATTTAAAGCGATTTAACAAACTCTCATCAGTTACGTTACCAAATCAAAACCCAAAGGACAACGAATGTAGCTAAAAATAACTTTTTTTTTATTAGAGGTGATATAAATTTGTTTTCACTATTAAGTTCTGTATATAAAATTAATGATTTTATCGCTAGACAATATCTTTGTTGAACAGTTTTCACTTTCCAAACTGTGATCTGATCATTAAACTTTAAACCGGGATTTAATTATTTAAACTGGTTTAACAGTCTTCACTTCCCTGACTTCAGTCGGCAATGGAAAATCCAAAAAGGCCACTGCCAATCCTTTAAACGCCCGCAGAAGAGCTACAGAGTAACAAAATGGAAAAAGATGAGAAAAGTTGAAAAGCTCATTTAAAAGAGTGAAAAAAAAAAAAACGGATGTTTGCGGCCATTGAAACCCTCTTCACAAATGGAGCGACAAATCAAGCTTTTGATCCTTATTCTCAATCTTCTTCTTGGCACTCGAATTGCCACTGATAGCGATTGGCAGATTACGCAGTTGATCTCCCTTGAACTCGTAATTACTCTCCTCGCTGCTGCACCTTATGCTCCTCTGCCAATTCGCGAAGCTCTGTTCGTCTTCCTCCTGCTGCTGCTGCTGACGGTGCAGCCTCCCGCCGTAAAGCACCATGCCGTCGAACCTGGGCCCGCCCCCATTTGCTCCGAAACGGCCCGCGAATTGGCGATGGTGGTGGTGGGCGGCGGTGGTCGTAGGACAGCACTGCAGGCTGGCTGCATGCGCAGTTATGTAGAGGGAATTTGGGTGATGCAGCATCGGAACTCCCAGGTGGTGGGCTGCCGGAGAGAAAACCAAAGGCGGGGATGGCGTGGCGGCGGCGGTGGCGTATTCCGATGATGCTCTTTTGGCCTTCCTGGCTGCGTTCCTCTCCTTCTTGTGAGCGTTTTGGTGGCCGCCCAGAGCCTGAGAGCTGTAGAATTTTCTTGAACAGAAGAGACAGGGGAAGACTCTGGCTGCTGTTGCTGCTGCTGCTTCCTCCTCTGCATTAGTCCTCTTGTCTAGCTCAGTCTCCATATATGGAACGAATTATGGCAATTTGGGATTGGGAAAGACGAGACGAGAGTTTAGAGGAGGCGTAGTGAAATAAAAAGGAGCAGAGAAGTGGCTTCTAGTAATAAAGAGGAAGGAGGGAGTGGGAAAGACAAGAGTTTAGAGTAGTAGGAGTTGGAAAATGTGAAAGAAGAGCTTTTTGGGTTTTTCCTCTTCCCTCCCCACCCTTCAACTGTGGACTGTGGTAATTGAATGATATGAGAGACAAGGTGCTGTATGGGCTTGGGAACAGGAGATAAGAGAAAGATGGAAGACAGAGGCAGAGGCAGAGAGAAAGACAGAGTAGGTTGATGCATGGTGAGATAGAGAGGGAGTTATTGGTGGGAAGGAATGGCGAGTGATGCCACCAGTCCAGTATTCATTCAGCAAAGCCATACAGTCTCTCTCTGTCTGTCTGTCTGTCTGTGTCTGACAAAGTTAAGCTAATTAAAGATGCTAATCATCTAGTTTAAGTGTGGCTTGATTAATGAGGTTCGTCAGGTCCCCACTCTGAACTCGAGATAGAAAGGGCAGAGGTCAGAGATCCATTAACTAAAACCTCAAACTGGGGGTGGTGGAAATGGGTGCTGCTTGCTGCACTAACCAATGATATGATGAAGTGCTGCATTCAATGGAAGATAAAAAAGAAAGGTGCCTTTTTTCTCACTTTGGAAAACCCAACAGGAAGATGCCCCCAGAGAGCTAGTGGGAGAATGGAAGATGAGGTCCAGTGGGAAGTTTGGGTTGGATGACTTTAGAAAGCTAAGCAAGAAGATGAGGTCCACTTGCTTCTGGTTCTGAACTCACCGGCTGTGGTGTGGGTCTTTTATTGTTGTTTGTGTTCAGTTCAGCCCCTCTGCTGCTTATTTCTGACTCGGACCATGCAACTGGCTGCTGCCTCTCCTTGATGCATTGCTCTCTCTCTCTCTCTCTCTCTAATCTGATCTCTACTTTCAAACACCAAAGATGGCAATGTGTAGGTTTGGAGTGGATTTGTGTTAAACCATCTTCATTTTTGTTTTAAAGTATCCATGAGCAATTTTACTATGCTCGGTGCTTTAATGTACAACTTGAATTTGTACCATAACGTTAAATGTATAAGTTTAGGTTGTACCATAAAAGAATTTGTACCCTTATTTTATGGTACAACTTTACAACTTAAAGTTGTACCATCACATAAATGTACAAGTTCAAGCTGTACCATGAAAGAATTTGTACAAAAGAGTATAGGTACAATCTAAAATTGTACCATAACGTTAAAGGTATAACTTCAAGTTATACCATAAAGGGAAAAACCTATAGCACCAATGCTATATAGCATAGTAAAATTCCTCAGTATCCAAACCCGTACCCATTCCACACGCAAGCGAGTGAGGTTTTTGCAATCTCATTTCCGCGGTTTTCGGGTGATCCGTGTGTAGTATCTGTCTCGTATTTCCAATATTACTATACATAGAATTCAACGTGTGAATCTTCAATTATAAGACTAAACGGACCTAATAAATCATGAAATCAACGAAGATACAATCAATCTCAATACAAAATTAAAGCATCCAATCCTAAAATATCCAAAAGACAAAGTACAATACTATCTAAATCATTAGCCTCTGAATCTGACACATCTACTAACCAATAAATAAATAAAATAATCTTGTTAACAAAGGGGGTAAAGAAGTGAATTAATGAAGGGCGAATTGAGAAAAACAAATTAGTGTTTAATTTGGATGGTCACTCAATTATATCTCAACTTTTTTTTTTAATTACACTTCCATTCATTGAGAGATTGACATATGATCCCTAAATTTATAATAAAAAAATAAAAAAAATAGGTTCAACGAACATATGTATGGGTATGGAACCGAAACACAAATCCAAATCCAAATCCAAATCCACTATCTCCATCAAACATTTAACTGGTTTATTCATATTCGGTTAATATGCAGATTCTCACCTAACTTGGCCGGGAAGGTCGAATACCCGCATCAATGGATTTGATTGTCATCTCTACCCAACATCTTTACTTCTTTTTCGCCAATTCTTAAGTACATATTTTTCTTTGTTATTTTCTGCTCTTTGCAAAAGTTATGGGTATGAGGCTGAATAGTCATTGGTGTGGCTCATTCTCCACCGCCAATTTCCATGCAATGTCCCGCTTTTCACTCCCCAAACTGAAGAATTCCTGACACCTCCGTTTCTTGGTTCATCAACATGTGGCAAGTGAAGGCATGGGTTCCCTCTGTATTCGTTTGGTTTAAATTTTGGTATTATTAATGCCCTGACCAATAGGAGTGGCTATACGATCCGGTCCGGTTAAATTGGTTCGAATTGATTCGATCTCAGTTCGGTTTTTTCGGGAATATAAGGACCAAAGATTTGATTGAATACAGTCTGATCTTGACCCAGTCCGGTCCCAATTCGATCTTGATTTTGAATAAAACTTGGGAGGATTTGAGTGGCCTAAAGACTCAAAGGGTGAGAAATTGGTTAAGTTTTGAGTGTAGGGCACTCTTATCAGGATTTCGATCCGATCCCACGATTTTTTATCTCAAATCTAAACCTGAAAATTGAATTAGATTGTTTACTATCTGATTCCAATTCGGGTTATACAACTCGGGTAAAATCAAATAACACGAACCAAATAACCAGCCCTACTGACACTTCGGTCGAGGCAGAATGGTCCATTCTCACAAACAAGAAACATAGTCGGTCTTCCACTTCATTAATTAATTTAGTTGAATACACAGTGTAGCAGCTATGGATTTGTCATTTGTGAACCGCCCTTGTATTACAAGAACTTTACGTCAGCCCAGGTATATAATGCTAGATGTGAATGAAATCTTGGTATCACACACGGTATGATTCAAATCAAACAGCAATGGCGCCTGCATAAATGTTGATGACGATCCAACCAGCGGGCGTTTCACGAACAACCGAAGCATCTACCGAAGGAGAATACGCTAGATGGCTCTGCAACTCGGTCAGGCTCGCCCTTCTTTTTCCGGGGAAGATGCTTCAAGAACGCTCTCACTGCTCCATCCACTCCATCTTCATTCTCCATGGCCTTGGCCAGCTCCACTGCCCTCTCCTTAACCTGGAACAAAACAATGCTATCTTCACAAGTTAAACTCTCCCTCCTCAATTGAGCCTGAGGTACTACATGATTGCAACTCTCCAATTCACAATGGCTACAGATAATGGCGCTACGGTGCGTAGTTTGGTAGACTCCAACAAGTTAACACAACTGCCATCTACCCCGAAAGTATCCCAACAATAAAGAACTTTGAGATTGTCAAGTCCTTCTGGCTTTTGTTCTAGCACAACCAATCGATAGGACGTTCTTTTGTTCGATAGAAAATGATCGACTTCATTAATAGAGGCAGTAGAAGAGAGCAACATTACCTGAGGATCTAGCATGAACTTTACTGCGTCAACCAATTTAGGAAGTGAGAACTCCTCAACTTGAATAGGGGGTGGGCCCACTCCTCTAGCATGTACTCTCTCGCCCCAGAAGGGTTGGTCGCCAAAGAAGGGCACAATTGTAGTTGGGCACTATAACGAAGTAATAAGCAAAATGAAAATTACAGAGAGTATGCTAGACGATAGAAGGCATATACAAAAAATAAAAACAGAGAGGAGGAAGTTATTTGAGCTCATACTGCAGCTTTCAGGCCAGCAGCTGTTGTCCCTGCACCTCCATGATGAACCTGAAGGCAGCCAATACTGGACATGGTGAGGGATATGCCATTTCCTCACTATTAACCAAATAAAAGAAAATTTATACAAAAATGCTCAACATTGCATCAGTTACTCGAGTCCTGTAATAGTCTAGTCTGTCTTTATAAATCTTTTTAATGATGTATATGTATTCACGGTAGAAAGCAACGAGTATGGAAGATGGATAAAGGTGGTGGTGGTGGTGGCTTTACTCGCAAATATAAAAGCTAACTATTTGGGCCTTACCACTGCTTTGCATTGCAGGAATAGCCAGTCATGAGGGATGTTATCCAGGAGATATATGGAGTCCTTTGGTTCTGCCACTGAGATGATTCACAAAGTAACAACTAAGACGTAAAACACAATGCTGCTTTCTGAGAGACCAGGGAAAGACAGATTGTTTAGGGAAAAGGCATTCAATAGCAACATTAAGCTTACAATTGCCTAGGCCCCCCCAGCCTTTGTTAATGATGCCCCTCTGCCCAGTTTGTTCCAATGCCTCTACAATAATTTGCGTCATCTTCTCAGGTTCCTGAACTGGCTGAAATAGAATTCGGAAGTACTAAGAAAATTTCACAGTGAAAGGCACACATTCAAACCAAGGGGGGAAAAGCCTCCTAGCAGACACAGAACTCAAAAGATAAACCCTTGATAGAGCAAAGGATATGACGAGCAGCACATCTGGAAATCTAACCAACTGTAGTAATTTTTATAGGCAGTCCAGTAAAGATTACTCATGGATTGCAAAACAATAAAAGGAGTAAAAACGTAACCCCTCTCATCCTCCTTATCAGCACAGCCAAGTACAATAATAATTTCAAATCCAAACACCATCCACTGGATGTGGTAACTTAATCAATGAGAAAACCAGTTATAGGCTGCCACGTTTGAACCACGGATACCTAGATATATACCATGAGAGGAATTGATTTTACAGCCTCTTCTTGTTCATTGGACTTTATCCGTGTTGATCAAAATCCATAAAAGAGATCTTCGAAAAAGAAGTAAAATGAAGAGACTCATTCAGAACCACCTTCCAGACTGCAAAGTGGAAGAGTTTTCTTCCCTAGCAAATTGCTATCTTCTGTAGCAAAAGATAGGGTCGACCGACCAGAGGAAAAGGAAGATAAGGTAAACTTTAACATTTTTCTGTCAGTCAAAAACTTAAACAGCATCTACAAGTTTTTGACGGGTGTTTCGTTTCACATGGGAATGGAGCTTTAACTTGGCCAGCAAAACACAGACATCACTCTCAACTTCACGTTTGCAGTCCTATCTCAAATAGGAAACACTTACATTTAGCTGAAAGAACATCAAATAATTACGAACATCCTAGACAGACTGAAAAGAAAAACCCTTCAGAAGCAGGTAAAAAGCAAGGGAAGGAGACTCACAAGGCTACCAAATCCAATATAGATAGGTTTTGGACCAGCCTTCAGCCATTTGACGAGTTCTTCAGGAGGTTCAAAATTTGACGCAAGATCAAGGAAGCAAAATCCAACCACATCTACTCTTGGGCCCCAGTCTACAAACCAAATAATAGTAGAAAGTATACATTAGCACTCTCTATCTAGAGATGATAACACCATTTGCACAACATCAAAGGGAAAACTCTACTCAAACTAGATATTTGCTGCTCTAATACGATGTTGCTAACAGCCCGATATCTTAAAGTACCTTTAGGCTTAGGGACAAGGTGAGGACTCCAAATGTATGCATGTGGCACATCAAACTCAGAACCCTGTGAACCACTAAGATAGGTAACAGGCCGTAGCTTGAGCTTCTTTTTCCTTACGTCATTTATCATATCCCGTATTCCCAGCCAAATCAGTGAGTCGACAATTTGATAAGACAGCTACCAAAACAACAGAGAGCAAAGATTAAGTCAGATGACTTAGAGAAGTCGAACAAAGAGTATGAATTTGTTTTTCCCCTTTTATGGATGTAAGAGAAAGAGAGAACCAATGGACTCACTCGATACCCAGCTGGTTGCTTGACCCGTGACAAAGGATGCGGAAACTCACTTGTTGGCCTGATGAGAGCGGGAAAATATTCTTAAGTCCCTTAAGATGACTAGTACAAAGCAAAAGACAAAAACCCAGGATGCTATCCATGGGCGACATCTATCCAGCAGAACCATTACCCAGAAAAGACTTACGTCCAAGGCATAGTGAAAAATATGTGGATTGGGATTTTCAGTGCCTCTGCTACATGAGTATGCCCTAAAAAGGTATGAAAAAGGTTAGTTTGGGAACAGTCACTACAAACACAACAATGGAGACAGAATAAAGCCAACCAAAAAGAAAACAACTCAACCGAAGGTTGGATTCCCAGGAAAGCAGGTAGATAAGAATAAGCAACAGATGAAGATGAAACTAACTAGGACTTCTCATTTAACAAGATATATATTAATAGTAACACATCGAATATGCCAATGAAAATTAAGAAAACCATGAGAGACAAACATGGTCAATGTGACAGGAAAGATTCTCTAAAATGCATAAGAGGAGTTCACTCTAATCAATGTTAGACCAGAATAGTATTTCCAATGAAACAAACTCACCATAGGCTGGAGGATTGGCAATCATCGCATCTGCCTTAAATGGGATGCCAGAATCTATATCAGGTTCTTTACAAGCAGGAAGCAATGACCATATTATATCTTTCAATTGATTTCGCTGCACCGGTATCTCAGATGGCCCAGATGGTAAGAAGCCTTTATTTTTCACCATGTCTGGTCAGAAGACAGGCAAACAAATCACAAGAGATGATCCTGAGCTCCATGTAAACAAGTGCAAGTCCTTGATACAACATAATGCCGATACTCGAGCACGTAACACATTAAATTTCCCAGATAATGAATTTCAGAGAAAATTATGCATTTTAGTGTCTGGATTTCAACATATTTATTCTTCAAAACAACAAACCAATTTAAGGAAATTCATACTCTCCTTTAAAACTTTGTAGTTCTGAAGGCCAAAAAATTTGCAAGTTCAACTAATAAAGCAAAATGAACCAGTATACCACCGACTTATCATTCTTTTTTTTTCTCTTTTTTCTTTTATATTATATGTGAAGTTATCACCCAAAGTTTGAACCCATGATGTGGTGTAAGTTATCATCCTCAGTTTAAGCACATATGCAGATGTCAGGGATAGCAACTAGGACCATATAATGGATAAGAAACGATATCGAAGTAAACTAAGCAAAATATTAGGTACTTACAACCAGCAAGAATCTTGGGATCTCCTCCTAAAGGGTAAAACTCCAACCCTGCTGTTAAGACAAACTCCTTAAAATTTGAATGAGTTGCTAGTCTGACGCGATGACCATAATCCTGCACATAAAACCAAACTTTAAAATGTTCCTCTTCTCAAGAACTACGAATACATATTCACCAATATTCAAAAAGAGCTGTTACAACGAGAAACTTTAATTCGCAGTCCTCATCTTGAATATACCGATAACCAAAGACTTTCAAGGATACTTAAGAAGAAAAGGTAGCAAAACGATTACAAATCAAGGCACCAACTAACGACATCATCTACATCACGAGGACACATAAAGCACAACAATTTAATGAATAAAACAAAGAAGTAAACAGTGGGTTGAAAATTAACCTGCAACCGTTTACCAATTGCAATAAATGGTTGCACATCCCCACGTGTACCAACAATTAGCATCACTATTTGCAAAGGTGGTATATACTGAAGTTCTGCTCCATCGAGAGGCTCATCCCCTGTGGCTGCAGAGCAAATATCGTCACCTCTGAGACCAAGAGTTTGGGGCTCAACATCTCCTGGAACTTCAAATTCTACAGTTCCATTATCCTTGACAGTAGCAATTCTGTTCAACAATTGAAGCTGCACAGTTTTAATAAAACAAATAAAAATCTCAAGCAATGTATCAACATTATTTTGAGTAGCTACTCTAACAGGACTGAAAGTTCCACAGGTATACATGAAACAGGTATATAAAGTTAACCACTTGAATTACCTTTTGCTGGACAGGGATCTTGTTATCAAAAATTTGTGCTGCATCTTCAGCAAGTATGTTGTGATGTCTTTGCCTTTCAGTCTTAGATCTTTCCAACCTAAGATGATTTGAAGTTGGTTCCGAGCCTTTGACACTTGATGTAGACTGTGTGGCAGCGCCTGCAACAATTAATATCAATCAAACAATGAAGAAATGTGGGAAACTCAATGAAGAAAGATAGTTCCCACACAAGGATTGTGTACATTAGTGGTCTCATCAATGACCGAAACATAGCTAGCAAGTGAAATAAAGGTCTTAAGCAAACAGGGAATAAAGCGTCTTATAGCCAGATCTCTCCCTTCCTTCCATCACAGCAGTACTCCCCACATAAGCTGTCTTTTTAAACTTGGAAAACTCTAGAATCCAAATCAATTACTAGGAATTAACTGTTTCCATTCCCGAGACTGACAAATTTGGAGAAATACACAGCAAGGGACCATGACAAACTCTATAAAAGATGTTTCTAAGTTGGACACTAATGCCCGAAGTTCCATAGGAGAAACGTTTATGTACTGCAGAAAGATTTCCCATTTGAACAGCCATACAGTCGGGCGAAACCTCGAACTCAAAGAATTCTTCTGCAGCACAGGTGAAACTTGTCGCACTAACCAGTGTACCTTGTACTTTAGATTGCAGTGGGAAGAGATGTAAGGTCTTCATCTCAACCTACCTTGGATGTGATCCGGACGACTGAAACTGATAATGCCAGCGCTTGACCAATGGAGCACTAAATAATTCTACATGGAATCGAAATGCAGGGACGAGCTAACCTACTTGATGCCATTAACAAACCTTCCACCTAGTGCACTGTCAGCGGCAAACAGAGAGTCCAAAAAACCTTCCCTATCTTCTTCAGAAATTCGCTTCCACATCCAGAAGGCCGAGTCAAACCGATCGAGCAAGATGGCCGTATGGCAACAAAATTAGCATCTATTGACCAAAACTGAACCATTTCATTCACTATGAAGTGGACTACCTCGCTTAGAAGAAGAGATGGAGACACATAAAACCGGACAACAATCCCCCCCCTCGAACCAACTACAAAGCAGATTCGAGCAAAATAATTTCGACAGCCATAGAAGAATCGCCTATATCGCAAACAAAACGGTTGACCTCTCCCAAAATAGCAAACCGCAAAAGAAATAGTAGTAAACACAATCCAACAATTAGGCACCTCCGTTGTTCACTGACCCGCCGCCGCCGCTACTACTGCTACCAGCAGCCTCCCCGCTGGCCTTGACTTGGACACCATTTACGCTGCTGCTGCCGCTGGTTGCCGTTCCAATTTCGGACTTGGAACTAGGGGCTTGAACTTCAACAGAAGTCGATGAAGAAGAAGAGGAAGCGGAGGAGCTGCGGCCAATCACCGCTGACTCCTGCATAGTTGGTGCTGGCAATTCAGGTGACTCCCGATTCAGATCTGCGTGCATTCTCCGAAAGAACGACAGCCAGGCTTTTCCCACTCCGAGTAAGTAGGCCAATTCGGAGAGGGTGGGGGAAATTCCCTTTCAACTTTCAAGACCTCCTTCCTCACTGATTTTCTCTTTTTTTCTTCTTTTTTTCCCTTTTTTTCTTTTTCTCTATTTTAGTAGAGCTGGCGGACTACGTAAAAAAAATAGAGAAAAACTTTATCCTACAATTGTCAACCCGCGGGTCGACTCGCGGGTTGACCCACTTTGACTCTGACCCGGTGAGAAAAATAGGCCGCACGCACCCGCCGGGTCGACTGCTATAAGGTACCGGGTTGGAGGTCAAATTGTGCCATTTTTTTCTTTTTTTTGCGAAATGCGCCTATTTTCCGATTTTTCTTTTCGCCTAACTCAATCTTTGGAATCATAAGTTGAACATTTGAATATTAATGTTATATAAGTGTGTGTGAATTTTCACTATATGTTGAATCTAAGTACGAAATGTTATTTTGGTGTAATATTATATGTTATAACTCATATGTTAGATGAGATTTGATATAATTTATCAGGATAAGTACAATATAATGACGCTTTCCATATTTTCGGGCTAAACCAGGCTAAACCGAGCTAAAACGGGTGACCCATTAACCCTTGACCCACTAGCTCAACCGGGTCCGGGTCAACCCGCGGGTTGACAACCTTGCTTTTCTGTGATTTTGGCAACGGAAAACGAAATCTGGAGAAATGGAAACTGCCATTTTCTGAAAAACGATTCCTGAAAACCTGTTTAGCTGGGATTTTTGTAAAACCGGAAATTGTAAACTGAAAATGAAAACCTGTTTAGTTGGTTACTAGACCTGGAAATGAGAATTTGCCAAATTTCCTGACACTAGTACATAATTTAGTATCAAATAAGTAGAAGTACTATCACAAATGTCAAAGGAGTCCAGCTTGGAAGTCATCCCACAACTTGTCCACTATTCCGTCACGTCGAATTTCCATTCGGCTAGAACTCATACGATACTCCTCTCTTTCCAGAACTCCTTGCACTCCATTAACTCCCTCCTCCATATAATAATTATGATATTCTTCAAATAGGACATCTTCACAAGGTGAATCCTAATGAAGTTATGTAGAGCACATGTAGCAATAATAATTTGTGCTTGTTTCTTTAATGAAAAAGAAGGCATATGTTTCAGAATTGGGAACCTGGCCTTCAAAACTCCAAAGCAACGGTCGATGACATTGCGTAGGGATGAGTGATAATAGTTGAATAGTTGTTTAAGAGTTTTAGGTCCACCACCTCGATTGATTTCTTGAAAATGAGTAGGCTCCTTTGTTCGATATGGTGCTAGGAACCCAGGCATGTTCGCAAATCCGGAGTCAACAACATAATAATTACCTACATTGTATATAGCAAGTCAATTAGTATATAATTACATGAGATTTATTTATGTACAAACAATAATAAGTACCTCGTGGTGGCATCGGGAACTTGTTATCTGGATTTGAAACTGTTTCACTGAGAATTCTAGCATCATTTGCCGTGCCTTCCCATCCAGCCATCACAAAAGTAAAAAGCATATCGAAGGAGCATACACACACCACTATGGAATTTGTTCAGCAGTAGGAACAGATGCATCAATATGCACTCCATATATAGCTCCAATGCAATCCTATGTAATCACAAAAGTGGACATGATCAACAAACATGTGTAAATATTGTACTAGTAACTATGGAGTAAGTATTTATTTACCTTGAAATATGGATCATGTCTAGAACCAACAATTTTGTCAGGGACGTTATCAAAATTTGGTGGAACAATAATCTTGTTTGCAAGCTTGACCACAGCTTTCAATACTTTGTCAAAGTACTTTGAGATGGTGGCTGTAGAATGTTGAAACCTTTCGGCAATATCGCGAAAGTCATTAGCGTGACCTATAGTCTTGAGGAAGATGGCAACTTGTTCTTCAACTGTGACTCTCGTAGTGGACTTTAACCCTCCATTTTGTTTCAACTCCTCACAAAGAGCAAGAAATGTATCTTTGTCCATCCGAAGTTGCTCATATATCCTTGTTGGATTACCATGAAGAAGCTCTTTAACCCAGGCATGCCCAGTTTTGTCTGAGGTTCTACATGGCACTTTAGACACATTGGATCTCTCTTTCTCCAACAACCACAAATGCATCATGAAGATCTCCAAATCATCATTAGAATCAGTATCAGAACCAGAAGCCATATGTCTGCATTGCAGAATAATAAATTACAATCAAACTTTATTGAAATTGTGCTTACACCATAATAAGATAATGGTTCAAATAAAACATACAACCACAATCACTCAAACATTCAACTCAACAAAATTGTTCAACTAAAACATACATAGCTCAAACACAAACACACAATGTCGGCGTTGTACAATCACACCAAACCTTCCAGCCATTCTTTCTTTCTCTTCTCTGTCATGCGTAGAAAGAGACCGCGCTTTAGTGGATTATCATGGAGAACATCAATAGCCTTGACAAACACACTACCATCCACCTCCATCTCATCTAAAACCTTTATACACTCTGTCATAATATATAGGTCCTTGTCCTACCAAGATACTTCATTCATAGGTCCTTTCACAGCAGATGCAACCGTCTTGGCATCATGCCTATCATTCTTCCTTTTAGCACTCTCTGCCATGCTAATTATTGCCATCTCTACCGCAGTTGAATAGGTAGATTTGTTTGCTTTCCTCTTCTTGCCTTTGACCTTTGAGTTGCCCTTTGCTTCCTTGGCGTGATCAGTGGCATCATCAGCAAGAACAAAACCTTCCTCGTTGTCCTCTCTACTTTGTCCACCACTGCTATCTGAGACTTCTTGAGTAGAGACAAAAGCATTGCCACCAGAAGCAATAGTGTCACCAAATATGATGCAAAGGCTGTTGTATTTTGGACAACCATACTACCTAAACCCGATACAACCTTTTAGACCCTACACATTAACGTTCTAATCAATTCTAAGTTCAAAATCGAAACACATATTTATTGAAATTGAACGAAATGTTCAATTACCTGCTTACTCCATTTCTCCCAATGATCCTCAGAAGCGCTCACCTTTCCCGTTGCAGCAATGTAACTAACTCCCGTCTCACTAATCATGCCCTTGAAATCCCTATGCCTTCTTCTAAGTTGGTTAAATTTATTCTTCAATTGATAATCCTTATAGTCCCTGTTAAACTTACTCATTATTCCATTTTTTATGTTGGCCCATCCTAATTTTGTGAAGGTAGTAGTAATCTTGCTACCCTTCTTCACTTCCTCGACCATCAATTCAATCATAAAATTCTTAACTTGTTCGGGCCATACATCTTTTCCTTCTACCACCATACAATCATTATCATTGACAGCTTCTGTATTCTCCATGAGTGAAACTATACAAGAAACAGCAATCACGATATTATAACCAACAAACAGAACAATCGATAACCACAACAAACACCTACAATCACTATCCATACTCCATAATAAAATGAAATTCCAAACAACAAATTAACAACACACAACAAATAAATTCAACTAATCCACATAAAACCATCTGCTACCAAAATAAATTGCAAAAATAGAAGAAGAAAAAAAGAACAGTGGACTTACTCATCGGTTCGTCGAGTTGTGGCTGGAGGGGAGTTGCTGGCCGTAGGGGAGAGAAGCTGGGTTGGCGGGAGGAGCAGCCGGCGGGGAGGAGCAGGGGCGCGTCGCCTCGGCCGTTGTTCACCTGGGAGATGTATCGCCGAGAGGAGCTATTGCGGGGAGAAGCAAGCAGCGGATATGCAGGGCCTCGACGACTAGAGGAGCAGCTGCGGGGAGAAGCTCGGCGAGGGGAGAAAAGCTGAGGCCGCCTCGACGAATCCTGGCCGCCTCGAAGAAGCTCGTCAGCTGAGGAGAAGATGGTTGCTGCTAGATGCTGGATGCGGTTGGACTTAGAGATGGTAGGGTTTTGTTATTTCAATTGAAACGGAAAAAAAAACAGAAATGCGGTCGCTAGGTCTCGAAGACCTGATCTCATTAATGAAAACGAAAGAAAACCCGTCCTCTACCTTTCGGGAAAACCAATTTTTCGTTTTCGTCAGTTACCTCTTTTCCTTGTCATTCGGTTGCCATTAATGAAAATGACAACAAAAATGAACACTTGGTCCTAATTATGTAAATCATAAACTATAAACCCTAAGATGATGCATTGAATTTTTTGGCTATTTTGGAGAAATCATAACCATCGATTATTGTTTCTAATTAAATTGATCTTGGGGTATAAGATTTAGAGAATTAAGACCTAGATTTTGATCTTTAAGGGTTAGAGTATAGTATCATGTCCGAAAGATCAGTCAATTCAAGTCCTTAATAGCGTTTTCTTACTCAAGGTATGCGGTACCCAGAATTTTACACTGAGTACCGGAGAACTCCATATATATGTGTGAGAAAATACGAGGAAACAACGTTATCCTATCAGAGATTTTTATTTTCATTGTTCAAGTTACGTGGCTGGCAGCCTTCCTAGGTATTCTCATAGGACACTTGTAATTTACCAATTTTTGGGGAGAAACTATATACCCTTATGCATGCTTATGCCAAGGATTGAATCTAAATCCTAGAGATTGTTTAAGAATGTTATGTCACTACATTACAAATCTTTTTTTTTTTACATTGACAAAAATTAATTTATTGCATTAAAAACAAAATTTTCAATTGAAATAAATCTATAATCTTGAATTTTGGTGCCGTTCCGAAGACTCCCACAACTATATATATACGGTGGCTTCTACGTACCAAGGTGAAATCCGGGATATCACATACCTTGAGTATGAAAACGCTATCTAGACCTCGAATTAGCAGGATTTTTGGGTTTGATATTATACCCTAACCCTTAATGAGTGAACTCTAGATCCTAGGATGGTGCATTCATTTTTTTCCTATATTTCGACGAATCATAACCGTCGATTATTGTTTCTAATTAATTGATCTTGGGGTATAAGATTTAGAGAATTAATACCTATATTTTGATCTTTAAGGGTTAGAGTATAGTATCATGTATGAAAGATCAATCAATTCAAGGTTCGGATAGCGTTTACATACTCAAGGTATGCGGTACCCCGGATTTCACCCTGGGTACTGTAGAACTCACTAGGGTGAAATCCCCATACCTTGAGTATGAAAACGCTATGCAAACCTTGAATTGACTTATATTTCGGAAATGATATTATACTCCCTTAAAGATTAACATCTAGGTCTTAATTCTCTAAATCTTATACCCCAAGATCAATTTAATTAGAAACAATAATCGACGGTTATGAGTTCGTCCAAATATAGGCAAAAAAAAAAAAAAAATTGAATGCACCATCTTAAGGTTTATAGTTTACGATTTAGATAATTAGGATCTAGGGTTCACTCATTAAGTGTTAGGGTATAATATTAGGTCCAAAAATCCTGCTAATTTGAGGTTTAGATAACGTTTTGATAAACAAGGTATGTGGTACCCCTGATTTCACTCGGGGTACCATAGAAGTCACCATATATATATGGATGCTTCTATAGTACACGAGGAAAAATTGCTGGTGTACGACATACCCCAAATATGTATGACTTTTCTTGACGACGACCATATGTCGTCAGTAATAACCATTTATGACTAAATCTAACTATTATCGGTGAAAAACATGTTGTCACTAACGATCGCCCTTTTTGTATAGTAAGATAATTGGGAAATAAATTTCTAAGAAAATAAAAATATTTTGAAAATTATATGTGTCCTGACGTGGCATATAAGTGGAGGTCATGTGTTGCCACATAATGACATAATCAATAGTCTAATGTGGTTTTAACTTCAACGACAAAGGAAAACATGGGGACGCAAATGACAAGTCATATCTATATTCGAAAATTTTCAGTTAAGATATTTGGTATTAAAAATTAAACTTTGTACATAGTTCGGGTATTCGTATTCACCCTAAATAGTATATAAATAAAATTATTTTTCTAGCTTTGGTAAAAGAAGTTGTTCTACTATTCTGCCAGAAAAAATATTTTTTTCTTGACATAGATTTCGCTTAACGATAACATAGCTTTGTCTCTTCCCCCATCCCAAAACTAGGAAGAATTATCATTTTCTTGCATTATTCCTTTTTCCTCCTCCATCTCTTATTCTCAATTTCCCCAATCTGAAACCCAGAATCTTTGAATCAAATATGAAACCCAGAATTGTTGATCTCATCCATCCATTTTCATTGGTGATGACGACTCCGCAAGCACACGGAATTTGATTTTCTTCCTAGAGAACTATGACGTATATCTCTTCAGGTTCCTCTTTAATGTAAATAATCCATTATAATATTTCTCACAAATTTTTTTTTCTCCCATTGGTTTGATTCAAATCTTCCTATCCTATATTTTCACCCCTTTGTTAATTCATTTAGGGTTTAGGGACATTAATGTTCTACAAGAAAGGAATCAAGCGCGTTGCATGATTATTCATAGATTGTTTGATTAACATATGGTGTTCCCACAATTCATATTCAATTGAGCAGGTCATGTGGAATGGATTATGAGGTTGGACACAAATTTGTTTATAGGGGGAAGGAATTTGTTTTTTTCATTTTTGGCTGGAGTTCTAAATTCATTTCGCGGATGAGATGATTAACATTGGTTGTTTTGATTTTTAAACTTCATTGTTGGGAATTTATTAAAAAAAAACTTCAATGGTGGGAGAGAGATTGTAAATAAGGGAAGGCATAATGGATCCTCTCTCTCACAAGCTCAATTTATAAAGGATTGAGACCTCTTATCATTAAGCTGAACGAGATCGCAATGAATGGTTTGTCAAAAATGGATTTTTCCACACAGTGGTTGCAACAACAACAACAACAACAACACGAGTTGACATCTAGGTTTGGTGGTAATGGTGGAGGCAGAGAGGCACATAACATATCTATGCAAACAGGGGAAGAGTTTCTCCAAGACAGATTCAATACCAGAGGGACACGTCCTGTTCCAAACACGACTACTATTTATGACAGGAGAGCTTCATCTGATGGCGACTTAAGTTACAATCTGGGTTATGAGGATGTTGCTCGTGTTATTACTTTGAAGAGAATGGACTCTAATGTTTCCGCTTCTTCAATGGAGTCCCCAAAGGAGAACGAGCATTCATGCTTTTATGATAAGATGACTTGGATTAGTGCAGAGGACAACATGAATAATGTACATAGATCAAGGAATTCTTTGGGTGAGCTGAACAACAATGATCGAGGTCTTGCTTTGGGTTCAACTTTTTACGGGTTGGAATCTCCTCGAGGTGACAACACAAATATTTCAGATAGAATACTTCAGGCAGGAAAAATGAAACTTCTGTGTAGTTCTGGTGGAAAAATCTTGCCAAGGCCTGGGGATGGGAAGCTCAGGTATGTGGGTGGAGAGACCCGCATCATTTCCATTAGTAAGAGTCAGTCATGGATTGAACTTGTGAGGAAAACTTCTTATATTTGCAGTCAACCACACTATATTAAGTACCAGCTTCCGGGGGAGGATCTTGATGCTCTTATATCAGTGTCTTCCGATGAAGACCTTCAGAATATGATTGAGGAACACTACGGGCTTGAAAATCTTGGTGCTTCTCCAAGGCTTCGTATCTTTCTGATTCCAATGGGTGAAGTTGAAAACTTGTCATCTTTTGAGGTCACTAAAACATCCATCCAACAGAGCAGTCCTGATTACCATTATGTGGCAGCCGTGAATGGCATTAGTGACCCTAGTCCTAGGAAAATCCCCACTGACAGGTCTTCAGCAAGTGCACTGCCAATAAGGTTCAGTCGTAACCCAAGTTTTTCCAAGCGTGCTCCACCTTCCATGATGCCTTTGGAAATCAATGGCGGTCTTGCTTCTTTTCAGAATATGATGTCTCCATATCCTTCTCCTCCTATCTCTCCCGTTACTTTGTTTGCAGACGAAAGCAATACTTCTTTCATGACAACTCCATTACCAACAGAGAATGTTGGCCTCAACACAAAGTTTCACCACCAACTCCATAATCAATACCACAACTTTCATCTCAACAATGAGCTTGGTGGCCCTTCTGGTAGTTTGAATTTTGATGGTTGCTACCATGAAAGGCCTATGCAGAGGGGACGCCATTTCCACTCCGAATGTCCTATTTCCCACCTAGAAGACTTGAGAGGTGTATTGACTGGCTCCGCTGACTCTTTTGATCCTCCACAAGGCATTTCCCATGCATTTTCTGATTCCAAACTTCAGGAGCGTGGGGAAATGTCTGCTTATCATTCACAAGAAATGGTAAGTCCGTTACTCGAGCTAAACGTTTCTGACACACGGATATCCTCTTCTGTAACTTCTCGTCCTCTTCCGTTGCAGGTATGCGAAGCACGTCATGCAAGTGTCAAGATTCTGGATGACAGATATCAGATCTCGAACCTTAGTAATGAAACATCATTGGCTATGGAAACTCCCATTAGATATGACCAAAATGATCCATTTCCACAGCAATGCAAAATGGGCTACCGGGAGAAACCACCTATCCATTTTAAAAGACAACTGTCAAATTCTAACATTCAAACGCCTATAGAAGGATTTTCTACCACCATAGATCACAAACCTCATATCAATACCTCGGAGCATTTCTCAAATTATCAAATGGAAAGTGCCCCCTCAAATGTCCTTATGATGAGTCGTCTCATGACAGCTAGTCATCATAACGTTGGAAGTTCTTTGCTTGATCATGGACATCAACAATCAAGTAACACATATTTTCTCAATGGGAATGCAGTTCAACCTCTCGAAAGTCAAAGAGATAAGTGCAATAGTGAGCATCCACATATAAGGTCTGTAAATTCATCCAAATGCATTGATGATGATATTGTTACAATGGTAAACTTGTGCGAGAATGATCTTCAGAGAGCATCATGTAACAATAACATGAGAAATGTACACTATCAAGAACCAATTTGTCTCCTTGACGATGAAGAAGATAAATATCATCGCACTCAAAGTTTTGGCAAGTCAAGTTGTGGAGAAGCCATAGATGAGAGATCAGATACTGAAGATATTTTATTAGGGCAAACAAGAAACTCGACTGAAGAACATAACAGAAGCACACTAGTAGAGCAGAATCCAGTTGTTATGAAAGATGTGAGCACTATTGAATCTGCAAGTAGTATTCTAGTTTCATGTGCAGAGTCTTGTCAAGTTACGATTCCAACTAGTGGTGGCTTTGCCTCTGCGACTTTAACATCATTTGAAACGACATTCTCACAAGCACAACCAATTGCTGCCAAACAAATAAAGAAAGATTTTGCACCTCCTACCACAATGAGGCTTGACAGTGTGGTTCAAGAATTTGAGCAGTTTGGGGTAAGTTCCATAATATCTATAAATTATATGGCTTGGAGCGGGAGTTCTTTCATTTTTCTTTCTATTCAGGTAAATAGGATTTGAACGTAGGATATTTACAGGATACAAAATCTAGTAGTGGAGAAAAAGATGGATGCACAAGTGATGTGGCCATAGCCGAAATGGAAGCGAACATCTATGGGTTACAGGTATTTTAAATAAACTTCAACGCATACATATTCTCACCTACTAAAATTATTGAAAATAAAAGAGGACTATCAAATGCAATTGTGTTAGGGGTGGAGCTAAAATTGATTTATGCGGTTCAAGCGAGCATTCACTAAAGTTCTCTAGAAAACAATCATTTTGTTGGAAATAAATTTAATTATTTACTTATAATTGAAAAGCTAATGGTGGGCTTTTGGTGGGTATGAGCTCGTTTATGAGCTAGAATGGGAGAAGACTATTTTTATTGGACAAGAGAGAAATGGACAGAGGAGTTTTGGAAACCTGGAGGCTTTTATTTCTTTCTTTCTTTCTTTCTTTTGGTTTTGCTCTCTTCTTGGCTCTACTTCTACAAAGCTAATGCCCAAGCTATTTATAGGCCTTGCTCCATACAAAAATCTACATCCACCGTCTTACTCTAGTGGTCTTTCTTTTTTTCTTTTTTTTTATTGTTACAACACCTAACAAACTCATTAATTTGACACACCTAAACAATTCTACACAATTCCATACTTACCCACGTTTCTAGCATATTTTGATTTTTTTTCACAGCTTAAAGTTTATTATTTTCAACACTCCCCCTTAAAGTTTAATTTGTCGTAACTCCGAGTAGCGTCCTCATCTTGACGAACACATCATGCTTCAACGGCTTCGTGAATATATCAGCAATCTGGTCTTCAGTCTTCACATACTTCAGCATAACTTCTTTCTGCTCCACGCACTCTCGTAAGAAATGATATCTCGTATCAATATGTTTACTGCGATCATGAAACACTGGATTCTTCGCTAACGCCAGGGCGTATTTGTTATCCACAAAAATTTCAGTTGACTATTCTTGTGCCATGTTCAACTCCTTCGGCAACTTTCTCAACCATATCGCATGACACGCACACGATGTCGCAGCAACATACTCGGCTTCACAAGTAGATAATGTCACGATAGCTTGCTTCTTTGAACTCCATGTGAAAGCTGTATCTCCCATAAAGAACACAAATCCTGTAGTGCTTTTGCGATCATCCACATCTCCTGCCCAATCACTATCGCAGTATCTAACCAATTTGAAATTTTCTGACTTAATATAAAGTAGACCATGATCGATTGTACCTTTGATATAGCGCAGTATCCTCTTGACAGCATTCCAGTGTGACATAGTTGGCGCCTCCATGTATCTGCTAACTAATCCAACTGCATAGAGAATATCTGGTCTGGTACAAGTCAGGTATCTCAAACTTCCCACGAGACTCCTAAACTCCGTTGAGTTAAACTTCTCTCCTTTGTCATCCTTGGATAACTTCAGTCCACACGCAGTTGGTGTACTCACAGGATTATAGTTCTCCATTTTGAACTTCTTCAGTACCTCCTTGGCAAAACCACCCTGTGAGATGAAAATTCCTTCCTCTTTTTTACTTACTTCAATTCCGAGTTAGTATGACATTAGTCCAATGTCTGTCATCTCGAACTCACGAACCATCGTCTTCTTGAACTCTTCAAACATTTGAGGATTATTGTCTGTGAAGACGAGATCATCAACATATAGGCAAACTATCAATATTGCTCCCCCCTTGCACCTTGCATTATAGTGCATGCTCATGTGGGCATTTGCTGAATCCGTTCTGCTGAAAGTACTTGTCAATCCTGCTATTCCAAGCTTTTGGTGCTTGTTTCAGACCATACAATGCCTTCTTTAGTTTCAACTCCTTATCTTCTTGACCTTTAATGATATATCCAGGAGGTTGCTCCACATAGATATCTTCCTCAAGATATCCATTTAGAAAAGATGACTTCACACCCATCTAATGTATCTTCCATCCATTTTGAGTTGCGAGAGATATCACCATCCTGATACTCTCCATTCTCGCCACGGGAGCAAAAACTTCATTATAGTCAATGCCTGGTCACTGACTATATTCTTTAGCCAGCAATCTTGCTTTGTACCTGACAACTTCTCCTTTTGTGTTCTTCTTCGCTTTAAATACCCACTTCACACCGATGTGCTTTTGGTTCTTAGGTAGTGACACAAGCTCTCGAGTCTTGTTCTTATCAATTGCTTGAATTTCTTCATCCATGGCTTTTCTCCATTTTTCATCCTTCATGGCTTCTTCAGCATCCATCGGTTCATCATCAATGAAATGACAGTAGAGAGTCAATTCATCACCTTCAAATTGTAGCTTCGTAAAGATCTTCAAGGCGTCTATACTTTTGTGGCCTTTCTCGGGGACTTTCACTAGATTCTCCTTCTCGGCTAGCAGGCTCTCTATGACTAGGTGGACTGGATACAGGTGTATTTGTATCTGGTACTTCATCACTTTCATCCATAGTGAATGGATAAAAAGTGTAACTCTTCTTTGCTTCAGTAGTCCAGTCCCATATTGCTTTTTCATCAACTACCACATCTCTGTTGATGATCAGCTTCTCTTCCACGGGATCAAACATTTTGTAACCTTTTGAGTGTTCTGAGTATCCCAGGAATATGTACTTCTTGCTTTTGTCATCCAAATTCTTCATTTCTTGATCAGGTATGTGCACATACCCGACACTTCTGAAGACTCGGAGGTGAGAGACTGTGGGTTTCCTTCCGCTCCATGCTTCTTGGGGTGTTTGATTCCAAACACTCTTTGTTGGTGACCTGTTCAGCAGATAGATTGCACAATCGACAGCTTCAGCCCATAGCTCTTTTGGCAGGTTCTTGCTCTTCAACATGCTTCTCGCCATGTTGAGTACAATTCTGTTCTTCCTCTCAACAACTCCATTCTGTTGAGGGGATCGTGAGACTGTGAGAAACCTGCGAATTCCTTGATATTCACAGAACCTTCTGAACTTATTGAGCATAAATTCTCCACCTCTATATGATCTCATTGCTTTGATGTAGCGGCCACTTTCATTCTCCACGAGCATCTTAAACTTCTTGAAAGCTTCAAATTTATCTGACTTCTGCTTCAAGAAGTAAACCCAAGTCTTTCTACTGTAGTCGTCAATGAACAGTAGGAAGTATTTGTTCTTTCCGAACGATGTTGGGGTGATCGGTCCACAAAGATCTGCATGGACGAGCTCAAGTGGTGCTTTAGCTCGTGACAGGGACTCCTTCGGGAAACTTGCCCTGAATTGCTTTCCAACTAAGCATCCTCCACACAACTGATCTGGATGATTGATCACTGGCAGACCATGCACCATCTTCTTCTGACTGAGCAACATTCTGTTTCTCGACATTGGGACTCTGGCTAGCAACTGCTTCTTCTCGTTTAACAGCTCCAATTGACGATTCACCATATGAACTTCATAATTTTTCTCCATCAGCTGACCCAAACTCAGGATGTTACTAGTCATGTTCGGGACATAGTACACATCACTGATAAATTGTTGTGAGCCATTCTTTAACCAGATGAGTATAGCTCCTCTGCCTTTGATAGAACCTTTGAGGAGTCTCCAAATACGACATTTCCTTTCACCAATTCATCTATATCCACGAACATGTTTCTTTTTCCAAATGTGTGGTTTCTTGTTGCATTATCCAGATACCACATGTTGTCTCTCGGTTTTTCATCTCCTTGATGTGACAGCATCAATGTGCCTTTGACTTCTTCTTCTTGCATGTTGTTTGCTGTCTCCTCCACTTCTTTAGGCGGACTCCAACAATCTGATGCATAATGCCCGTACTTCGAGCAATTATAGCATTGGATGTTGGATTTATCACGACCTTCATTTGATCTCCAACTTCCTCTTCCACATCCACGACCTCTGCCTCTGGTGGACGTTTCATAATTGTTCGTGGTGAAATTTCCTCCGTCTCTGCTTTGATATGCTCCTCGGGCTCTTCCTCTTCCTCTGCCTCTGTAGTTTCCTCTGCCTCGACCTCTGTACCGACCTCCTCCTCGAGCACCTTCTTTCTCCTCAATGGTAGCTTTTGTAGCTAACACTTGCTCTGACGATTCTTCATTTCTTTTATTTAGTCTTTCCTCTCGTGCTTGCAATGAGCCGATGACTTCATCCACTGTCATTTTTGACACGTCCTTAGCTTCCTCCATGGCCACCACCACATAATCGAACTTCGGTAATAATGACCGTAGAATTTTCTCCACCACTTTGGTCTCTTCAATTTTCTCCCCAATTTGCTTCAGTTTGCTGGCGATAGACTTCACACGGGCGGTGTAATCTGAAACAGATTCGCCTTCCTTCATTTTCATAGATTCAAAATCTCCCTTGAGTGTCTGAAGTCGAACCTTCTTTACTGGTTCCACGCCTTGCATTTCCTTTTGCAGAATTTCCCATGCTTCCTTAGCTGTGGTAGCATCTGCTATTTGATCAAACATTGATTCATCAAGACATTGATGAATTAGAGTGAGTGCCTTTTGATCACTCTTTCTATTTTTTCTCAATACCTTTTTTTCAGCATGAGATAACCGAGAATCCTCTGCGGGAATCTCATAACCTTTCTCAACAATATCCCAAACATCTTGGGATCCCAGCAAGGCTTTCATACGGATGCACCAATTTTTGTAATTGGTTTTGGTAAGGTGGGGGAATTGAATGGGGAAAGTGGATTTTTCGGTCATGGTACAATCGTGATAATAAAAACACGAATAATTCTTTTCTGATGTGGAAGTTTACACTACGCTACAACCACATAGCATACTTAGAAATAACTCGGGCTCTGATACCACTTTGTTGGAAATAATTTAATTATTTACTTATAATTGAAAAGCTAATGGTGGGCTTTTGGTGGGTATGAGCTCGTTTATGAGCTATAATGGGTGAAGACTATTTTTATTGGACAAGAGAGAAATGGGCAGAGGAGTTTTGGAAACTTGGAGGCTTTTATTTCTTTTTTTTTTTTTTTTGGTTTTGCTCTCTTCTTGGCTCTACTTCTACAAAGCTAATGCCCAAACTATTTATAGGCCTTGCTCCATACAAAAATCTGCATCCACCGCCTTACTCTAGTGGTCTTTCTTTTTTCCTTATTTTTTAAGGTTACAACACTTAACAAACTCATTAATTTAACACACCTAAACAATTCTACACAATTCCATACTTACCCACGTTTCTAGCATATTCTATTTTTTTTTTCACAGCTTAATTATTTAATTAAAATTTATTATTTTCAACAAATTTATGTATGTACTATATAATTTGAATTAGGTGAAATATTTATGTAGAGAAAATAAACTTCAAAATTTCTTTTGACAAGATAAACTTCAATGGGTAAGTAGAACATTAGTAGATGCTGCTTCTTTCATAATTTAGCAAAATAGAGAAATTATACATATACATATAAGTAGGTTTTATGACACACTCACAACAATGCGTGCATACTATACACCTAGTTCTAAAACTAGCTTTAAGATATCAAATTTAAAATTTAATTGCAAACACAATTTTAATATGATGATATAACATAGAGTTACAACTACTCCATGCATTACTCTAAGCTAAAGGCAACAAATGGATTTGATTCATAAGTTGGTGAATCAATGGATTAAATGAATCGAAGGATTCATAGATTGGATCAAATGCATTGGATCATGGATCCAAGTGATATCTAAAAATTAGAATATGTAAATTTTGAAATGATTAGTTACTAAAATGTCATATAAAAATATAGGTTCCAAATTTATCAACAATCCATGAAGCTGATCCATGATCTGCCAATCCGATTGAATTTGGATAAAATGGATCGGATTTAAATATATTATATTAGTTGGATATTTAAGTGAATTGGTTTGGTGGAATGGATTGGATTGAGAGCTTTACCGTAAGCTCTAAACCTTAAATTATGAACACTAATCATAAATCCTAAATTCTAAATCCTAACCCTAAATATATAAATCCTAAATCCTTCACATCAATGTAAATTTTGATTTTTTTGTGCAAATACATGCATTTTCTGGTGTATGATACTATATCCTAAATTCTAATGCGTGAACTCTAAACTATAAATATCTAGCAAAATCAATTTAATTAGAAATCAGAATTGATATTTATTATTTGTCTTAGTTTATAATAATACATATGATAGGTGTGAACGTTGGTGTATATCACTATACGCGGAGCATATGTTAACCTTTATATATAGGTAAAAAGACAAGAAAAGTATTAAACATGGGATGACAATAAGTATGTTAGTACCTATAACTAGGGGTGAAAAACGGTGCGGTCCGGTCCAGACCAGACCATAGATACGGTCTGTGGTCCAGACCGAGAGGTTGGAACACAGACCATGGACCAGACCATATACTATACGGTCCAGACCAGACCATACCTGTGCGGTGCGGTCCGGTATGGTCTGGACCAGACAGACCATGTTAAAAAAAAACTTAACTCTTAGTTCGCCCTCCAACCCTTCACAGGTATCTATAAAAAATCTAGTGACCAATATGCTAGTGAAACAAAAAAATTGTGATCGTATTAAATGAGAAGAAATATGAGGATAGAAGTGGGTTTATTCAATTTTCAAATAGCCTTATTTCCCTATTCCTCTTTGTGCTACCGCTTCTCATCTCTCGAGTGATCCGAAGGTTCTCCCAGTTGATAACCTTTTTGATGACGTCGAAGAATTTCGAACCACTAAGATGGTCGCATATCTCTCAATCATTTTCATTATCTCATCAAGGTGAACGAATTTTTTTGTAGTGTTTAATTTTTATCGACTCCATAGTCTAGACATTATCTGTGAATATTATTTATGAGTCTTTCTAATTTTTGTGTGGTACTTTGATAAGGAGATAACATATAAGCGATCATTTTGCAATTTGTTGGCTCTCAACTAGATGAAGAATCAACTAACTTTGTTCTTCAAATACACATATGGAGGTTCAATTTAGTGATATTTTTGTCCAAGGTAGTAGGTAGTGTGTCGCGGTCTGTTACGGTTTACTGCGGTAGACCGCGGTCCAAACCACTTCAGACCACGCACTAAAGGAGGAGACCGCAGACCAAACCAGACCATAATTCTGGTCTCACGATCCAGACCAAACCATACAATACGGTCTAGACCGCGGTTTCCCATACGATTTGGTCTGAATTCCCAGCCCTACCTATAACTTAGACTTTCCCATGATGATTAATGTGTAGATCATAAAGAATTCAGACCTTGAGGAATTACGGGAGCTGGGATCTGGTACATATGGAACTGTGTATCACGGAAAATGGCGAGGTACAGATGTCGCAATCAAAAGAATAAAAAAGAGTTGCTTTGCTGGGAGGTCATCAGAACAAGAACGATTGGTGAGTCCTCCCACATAATCTTATGACTTGCTTCGATTTATGGTTTTCTTTTTATTCAATCCATTGTTCTATCTTTCTCAATTTTCACATGATTAAGAGAGTAGTGTTGTAGTGCTCCAAATACGTAAAAATCTAGGACTAAAAGCAAAGTATAAATTTCATGTTCATACTTCAAGTTATTATAACTTTTCCAATTGCTAGCATGTTTTACGAGTCACTTGACGTAAAATATAATGTTCATTATGTAATGTTTACGTAGTGTTTATGAATCTTGTGTAACAATTGTAAATAGTGTTACATAATACTTACATAATAAATTTCCTTTTTATGTAACGCGTATTAAGGAGTTTATAAAGTCTAAAGGAATTATAGAAGTTCTACATAACATGTACGTTAAACTATTACAAAAGAAATAAAGGACATAACGTAACATTTTCGTAATCTATTTTTATTTGACGTAACACTTGTAGAATGGTATTGTGTACGACATACATAATAGATGTTCTATCTAAGCAATGAGTATTAACACGACACGGATCTTAGACACCCACACCTACTTGCAACAGGTAGAAACTCAAGGATTGAGATTATATAATTAGATATTTAGATAGTAAGGAAAAAAATTGGGGATCAAAGAGTAAGAAGGAGAATTGTGCATAATAGAGAAGAATGACCGAAGTCTTTAGGCATGGTAAAGACCGATTTCAGAGGATAGGGAGATCAGGGTTTTGAGATATTTTCTCAATAATACTCTGTCTATTGATTTCTCATAATTTGACGAAAGACACAAAGTACATATATATAGGAAATATTTGAATAAATCTGATATATATCATAATACTAATCGACTACTACTAACCCTATCATTAATTATCCTAATAATATTATTAGAAATCAACTGAGGCCGGGTTTCTATCACACATTTCTCATGTAACACAACTGTTAAGTTGTTACAGAACAAATAACCAACATCATCTACGTAATCTATTTGTATTTATAAACAATTTTAGAATATAGCGTTACGTAAACCTTATGTAATAGATTTTCTCTTTAAGTGATGAGTATTAACATTGAATTACATAATACAGTTGTTAAACGGTTCAAAAGAAATAACTGCCATCACATTCGATTTACATAATCTATTTGTAGTTACAAAAATCATGTAAAATAGTGTTTCGTACGACTTACATAATAGATGAGTTTATCCGTAATGAGTATCACCATGCAGTCACATAAAGTAAAATTATATTACGGAAGTCTTATGTAACAATATTCTACAACTGCTATGTAAGACTAGCATACATTACATAAAATGTAACATTTTACATAATGCAACCTACAAAGGAGATGATATAGCATGTCTTACTATTCAAGTTTTAATAACTTCCAGGTGTGGTAAGAGTTGCGCGAATATATATATATAAGAGACTATACTATTCTATGTTAGTTTTTAAAACCATTTAGTAGGTAGTTGATCCGTGTTCATTAAAAAAACAGTAGTTGATGAGTGGGATGGAGCTTCACACAATAGTTTATCCATTATTATAATATTCATTTTTTACGTTAGGCAAAAGACTTTTGGAGAGAAGCACACATCCTCTCAACTCTTCACCATCCTAATGTGGTCGCATTTTATGGGATTGTACCTGATGCGAGTGGAGGAACCTTAGCTACTGTAACTGAATTCATGGTTAACGGATCACTTAGGCATGCCCTACTCAAAAAGGAAAGGTGAGTTTAACATATAGCTAGTGATTAATAAAGTGCACAATGTACATGAATAGTTATAAGTATCAAACTAATAAGATATTTGTCTTTGTCTTCATTTAGATCTCTCGATCATCGTAAAAAGCTTATGATTGCAATGGATGCTGCTTTTGGCATGGAATACTTGCACTCAAAAAGTATTGTTCATTTTGATCTAAAGTGTGATAATCTGTTGGTAAATCTAAGGGATCCACACCGACCAATATGCAAGGTAAGCAATGAATTTTTAGCTAAGATGTAGTATATAGCTCATTTCTTAATCAATAATGAAGTAATAAAATGCCAGTATCACTTACTAGGGAACCTTTGTCATTTGATTAGTGCATTTAGCTTAATTTATCAAATTCATATGTGAGGAATATATGAAAACTAGTGCTAAACAAACGTAGGAGGGTATATTGTGGAATTGTTAAGCTATGATGGTATTCCTTCCAAGCTACTGCAACCTAAAACAGAGTGTTGCATACTATTGATTAGGTTGGAGATTTTGGGCTATCAAGAATCAAAAGGAACACTCTGGTATCTGGTGGTGTACGGGGAACTCTTCCATGGATGGCACCCGAACTATTAAACGGAAGCAGCAGCCGAGTTTCTGAAAAGGTCTTTGTTTCATCATTTCCCCATTTCCGTGATTGGCTTCACAAAAGCGTTAATGAAAGCTCTGCAAGAAGCCAAATGGAACAAGCAGTTAACAAAAAAATGTGAATGGTTGATATATGTAGGTTGATGTTTTCTCGTTTGGGGTGTCAATGTGGGAGATCTTGACAGGGGAGGAACCTTATGCTGATATGCACTGTGGCGCAATCATTGGTAAGCGTTTATCTCTCTCTATTCTTTCTCTCGTCATCTCCCTATCTCATTCTTTTTCTACATTTCCATATGCATGAAGGTGGTATCGTAAAGAATACCCTGCGGCCTGCAGTACCGGAAGATTGCGATCAAGATTGGAGGGAACTGATGGAGCAATGTTGGTCCCTTAATCCAGATTCTAGGCCGTCCTTCACCGAGATAGCAAATAGGTTGCGAGTTATGTCCGTGGCACTTTTGGCCAAGGCATCAAGTAATCAAACTAGACCATCCAAAGGATCAGCATCATAAATTTCCTTAGATATAAGGACGACGTGAGGTATATGTATATATAACAGAAAGAGTGTGTTTTGGTGTGTGTGATCATGGATTTAAGAGAAGAGCTTCCTACATATCATGTGATTAATCATCATTCTTAATTTTTGCCCCTAGGCATTAAATTTCTTCCTTTGCTTATCCATCAACAACCCTTCATTGTTTGTTGTAGCTTAATGTTTTGTAACCTAAACAAAAAAAATGATAAATTGTGTAAAGAAGGAGTAAGTTGTGAATTAATTAATTTTGGATGAATATTGAAAGGTATTATTATTAATTGAGGTTAGAAATTTGGTATCGTTGCATAATTTTTACCTACAAGACTATTATTTACTTTCACTAACCTACCAGGCTTCTTCAACGTGTGGCGATCAGATTAAATAAAAAATTTGAGAAATAAACCCACTTATATAGTGCAATTAGATAGTCAAATCAATTTTCATACAATTTTTGAGTGTTTTTGTCTTGCCAAGTCCAACATGTGGCACCATTTTGACCATGTTAGGACTCTTTCTTTGCCTCCACACTCTCTCCATGTTGTTGGGAGTATGAGAACCGAGGCTTACGAGCATCACCAACATGTATGCATGTATTTGGTTTGCCGAGATCATGATTTTTGCACCTGTCAGACCACAAATTTACATGTTTTGAGATTCCATGTGAGTATGTGAGTTTGGGATTTGCTGTGTAGTGGATTGCCCCTCTGTCCACCATTCATGGCAAACTTGCTCCTTAGGAACACCAATATGGCAACTCCATCTTCATGTGGTGTTTAGTTGGGTTCGCTCACCTGTGTACTTAGTGGAGTCTTTGGGACAATTACACGGAGGAATCTATTGAGTTATCCAGCCTTCATGACATTGGTATTTTTCATGTGGTCACCACCTCCGCATTGAGGATAATTCATGACAATCATTGTCTTATTTTTCCTAGAACACGGTGGATGTGGCAAACTTCTATGCCACTTGCGATGTTGTTTCTCCTTCAATCTGCTATGTGGTGGGATCTCATGCTCCCTAGTGGCTTAGATTGAACACCACCGATATTAGTTTGACAACACATTACATGTGAACTTGCTATAATCAACATGCTCGTGATAAGGTTGTCCACCCTGATTCTTGTTTTCATTCTTACTAGAACTACGATGATGTAAACCCCTTTGCAATGGCTTTCACAAGCCACCTCCAACTTATGTGTCTTTAAGAACAATGTTGTTCACAAGAAAAAACACGTTGGGTTTGCTCGCTTTTGGCAACACTCTTGTAGCCATAATTAACAATAGAGTTTGATTTACATTGATCGACCACCAATGATTCCAAGAATTGTGGAATTTACTTCCTTCATTTTGTTGCTATTCATGACTTGCAAGTTGGATTCAACACCGTTGCACAACAAATGATTGACTGATCACTACTCTGACCACAACACTAACAAAGTTTATGGATGTCCACAAAAACTAGCAAATATCCAACTTGTTCGTTACCCAAGCGTGATAGAAGATCTATCCTTTCAGTTTTTGGGTCACATGATTTTCGGTTAAACAAATTCAAGAGACATGATTTTGGACTTGATCATATTCAAATCATATGAAATTTAAGATTTTAAAATATCAAAATCATGAATATATTGAACCATCTTCTAAAAATTTGATCCAAGTATCTTTTAGAATGTTGTGCAGGAGAATCAAACTAGAGGATTACCTGCTGGGGAAACATGCATGTAGTAGTGGCATCCATGTTTGCCAAACCTGAGAGTTGCTTCACTTTGCCACTGTTGCTTGACATCTCATGGCCAAAAACGACGTATTCCTCCATCATAGAGATTGGTGGAAGTCCACCTTCTTATTGTCCACACCGCAGAGCCTATTCGAATCAAACACACGTGTCCCACCAGGTGTGCCAAATTGTTTCGCGGTGGAAACTTTATAGTGTTGATTGAATGATTAAACCTATGACTTCTAAAAATCAAGATGATCAATAATATGGTTCTCACCTCTTTAAACAAGGTTCGAACGAGGATGTTTGAGTTTTTGGAAATCTACGTTAAATTAGGACTACTCCTATGAAGATTCCTCAAGAGAGCTCTGCGACTACGAGTACAGATACGTCTATGGAGATCATATATGGAAGGATAGGTCTGCAACTAGGAGTTACAAAAAAAAAATGTAAAGTTGGACGGAGTTGTTCTGTGTTTGATTTGTATTGTCCTCTTTCTATCTTTGCTTCAGTGGTTTTATCTAAGAGCATCTACGTAGCTATACAATATATTTTGATGACGTAACTAGGAGTTATACAATATATTTTATATAGAAACAAAAGCATTTTGATGACGTAGAAGCGTAAACCGTAAGTGTTTAAGTGCATTTTAACTGCATTGGTGGTGCATATAGTTCTTGCACCAGACTCCCAAAGGGCCATTGAGTGCAGAATGGCCACTTTGTATGTTGTTTTCCTTGGTAACTTTGTCGCGCTTCTTTATCATCTGCTTATAAATTTCTCCATGGTAGAATCCTTGATTGATTGCTTCCAGTAGACTCCTATGGTGATGAGTTACTGGAAAATCCTCTTACTTTGCCCTATATATTGAATTTTAGGTTTTTGGTCGAGTATGGTCGTCCCCATTTAAGAAAAATCTTAAGTTTTCTTAAATAGTGCAGAAATCCGACTTCAAACAGGAGAATGGCCACAGTATTGCTCTAGACCATCTTTGGCTAGAATTTAATATTTTTCCTTCTTTTCTTCGAGTTTTCCAAGGATGAATCATTTCGGAGCATGCCCGCAAAACTGTCATGTCCTGGACTGTGTTGGGCTCATAAAATATATTCAAATCATGTCCAAATGATCTTCATATCATCCCGAACTCCATAACTTCCATCTTTTGTGAGTTTTCTGACCAAATATAGGGTTGAGAAAATAGACGAGACCGTTTGAAAAACCATGAAACAAATCGGACCACACAATTTGGTCCGGACCATGGTATGGATTATATGAAGTTTTGATTTCTTGGCCTGGTCTGGTGTAGACCGTGGTTTACCATAACAAACTGTGGATCTAGCCGACTTTCGAATACATGTTAGTAGCCCACTCGACCACTCTCCCAACTCCCCCAACGAGACTCAACTCTCAAACTTAATTTTGAGAATCTTTTCCCCTCCTTCATTCACAACCACATTTCACTAGAGAGTAGAGACGATCGTGTCTCCATATGACATTATGTTAATGTTTGTGACGTTATGGTGCGAGTTGGGATTCTTCGACTTTGTATCTTTGTTATTTACTAAGATTTAGAGTGTCAAAATTATTCATGCATGTAGGATTTTATGTTTTAAGGCAAAAAACAATAGTTTTCTCAATTATTGGTTCAATATGTAGTGTGGTTGACTTAACAAAGTGTTCATTTTTCGTTCAATGTGGTCTATCTGGACCAGACTGTACCGGACCAGACCGCACATGCGTGGTATGGTCTAGACCGTATAGTATGTGGTCTGGTCTCTGGTTTATACTTTAGCCTCTTGGTCTGGACCGTAGACCGTCTATATGGTATGGACCAGACCGCACCATTTCCCAGCCCTAATAGTTTGGGCATAAATATACACACTTTATCCCTCATTTCTTGATAGTTTGACTTTGCATTTTGTTATATCTCGACCTATTATACGGTAAATTGTGCTATTTTTTATACATTTCAGGTCCTAGCGTGTGCGGGAAGGTCGAGAACAAGTCTAGGGACAATTGGAGTCGATAAAGCGCCAAACAGTGAAGTAAAGTGAAGAATAGTCCAATGTCACGGGCAGAGGTCAAATGTCACGGTCAACAGACCTTGACAATTGATCACTGGGCTTGAGAATCAATTGTCACGGGCAGAGGTCCAATGTCACAGTCATAAGACCGTGAAAATCTCCCTTTGGGAGTGACATTGTCTGCTTCCAGAACCTTTTCAGATGTTACTGACGCCCGAGTGGTTCACGTACTGTTGACCGTTAAAATCATCTATTGACCGTGAAGATGGACCAAAATGACACCACTGACTTTGTTTTGGTCCAATATCAAGGTCAAGGCTCCAATGTCACAGCCGTGACATCTGACCGTGAGGAGTGACTTTTGGGATCTATAAATAGAAGGGTGTTGGGAGAGAGAAAGGAGAGCTTTTGAGCTCATTTCAAGCTAGAGGATTGAAGGTTTCTTCTTCTCGATGGAGATTCAAGCAAGGAGGAAGGAAGATTGTCATCTCTTCATGGTTCTTTCTCTCCTTTTTGTTGATTTCCTTTGCCTAGCTATGGAATAGCCTACCTACTCACTTGGGTGTTGTGAACCTTAGCTTGAAATATGTGATAGATTGTATGGATTGAATGCTATGTGTGTGGGTTTGTGTTTAATGCAAAGTTTGAGGTATTTTCATGATACTTGGGTTGTGTTCTTCATTTCTCATTTTTATGCCAATTTGACCTAGGTAGAGGGGATTCTCCTTTTTGTTAGGAGGCTTTGACGAGCTGGATTTCTTGGCCAATTGAGCTACCTACCTAGGGAAAATTAGGGAAATCCTCAAACTTTGATTTAGCACTTTTATTTGGGTGTTACATTGCCATCCGGATTAATTTCTGAGGGATTGGTTCTTGCAACCCTTAGTTTTATCGGTTAAGAGAGCTAGGACTCCTAGCTTATTGTTGCAATCCTTAGCCGAAAGGTTAAGAGAGCTAGACTTCCTAGTTTATTGTAGTAATCTGTAATCCATTGATTGAGAGAGCTAAGAATCTTAGCTTAATTGTTTTCCTTAACCGATTGGTTAAGAGAGTGATGTTTCCTTCACTTGTTGCGCCTTCCTATGGTGTATGAACACACCTCCACACATTCGCATTTGATTTGGTCGATCTTGATATTTAGATAGGGGGAGCAATACCCGGGTGAATTCTTCTCTCACTGGGACGACCTCGATTTACTTTACTTGTTTTCATTTGTAGTTTTCATAGTTTTAAACCCAAAAACGTTTGCTAGATAACAAACTAAGCGATTGAAGTCAGGGTACATAGACCGGCCCGGGTTGACAATTTAAATACTTGCCCTATACTGCATCCGGCTAGAGTTTAAAAGGTTGGGCTCTAGTCGGTATTTATTTCACGGTATATCCGACCGAGTCACCTAACCAAATATCATAAAGTTTAACTCAAAGTCCCCCGAAACACACTAAAATAACAAACTATGCATAAAATGGGCAAAACATATAGAACCAGCCGAAATGATAAAACAACACCAAATGTGGAGTAAAATATGTATATTTATGTGTTGTCAAATACCATCAAACTTGAGCATTTTGCTTGTACTCAAGCAAAGAATCAAAACATAAGTTTTTGCATTGAATTATGGATCCCCTAAAAAACAATTGCCAAAACGCGTTTTTATGACTTCGCTCCAATTTCTATTTTTGCTCTTAGCAGTCACGTCTTGATCTCCCTCAACATGTACAAAGAGGTCCATTAGGATGCTATGCCCTTAAATTACATGAAACACTACCAAAACTATTAAGAATGTGTCATTTGTGTCCTAAAGTATCCAATATGACATTTGTGTCCTAAACTATTTTTTCGTTAGAGTTGACTGGCGCTGACCGTTAGTATTTAACAAATGGCACATTCTTAATAGTTCGGATTAGGACATAAATGACACAAAACTATAATAGGTTGGGACATAAATGACACAATACTATAATAGGTTGGGACACAAATGTCATATTGGATACTTTATAACACAAATAACACATTCTTGATAGTTCGGGTTTCCTAGTGGTATTAGCCCTTTTTTCATCTGTAACATCCCAGACCTTTTTCCGACGAAGATATTGTTCGCTTTTGGTCTCGACCCTCACGGTTTTCGACTTGGGGTGCAATTCAAGGTGACTTTCCATAAGGTCACCCATCCTTGTTGTACTCCACATTGAGCATGTTTAACTTCAGAGTTCTCACAAGAACTCCTCCATTTCACCCCAAAACGCGTCTTGTCAGTTAAGGCCGGTTTCTTATTTATGAACCATGGATCTCTCTCGTGCTTTGTCGATGTGGGATTTTCCTAAGGTGTTGCATACACCCACTTATTTATGAACCATGGATCTCTCCTGTGCTTTGTCGATGTGGGATTTGCCTAGGTTTTGCATACACCCCCACCCCCCCTTGGGACTCAACGCCCTCGTTGAGGTTTGCCCCACCATCGTTCAAGAGGGACGCGAAGAGGCTCTGATACCACTTGTAACATCCCGGACATTTTTCCGACGAAGATATTGTCCGCTTTGGGTCACGACCATGGTTGTCATGCCACTGCCATGCCGGCCGGTTGGACCAGGTTCAACCGGTGCCGGTCACGAAACCGGCTGGAATGCCACCGGCATGATGCTCTGGTCAATGTCGGTCAAAACCGGAAATTTTGGGTGGTTCAACCGGAAGTTTAAATTCCGGAAACTAACTAATGCGGCGTCACTTTAAGGTTAGAATGTAAAAAAAGGTCGGGTGGGGTTTTCTTTTGCAGTTTTGTGAGACTGATACATCATCCTTCCATCTCTGTCTTTCCCCTCCTCCGAGCTCTAAAGGATAAAGTGCAGAGGCCAGAGAGCTTGGCGGCGTAGCAAGCTCAACGACGGGGATGCGGGACGGTGAGTCTTTACGACGGCGAGGCTGGGCAGTGAGGCTCGGAGGGCGGGACGACTCGTCACGAGAACTCGACGATTGCGGCTAGATGGCGCCCTTAGCAGGGCTTGGATTGATTGCCGATTTTGCTGGGGAAAGAGGAAAACAATGAATGATTGGGGATTGGGTTTAATGGAGGAGTTAATTGGGATGATTTGGTGGAGTTGGGTTTTCTTTCCATTGTTTAGATTTGTTTCTCTCTTCCTTTTCTGGTCGATTTGGGCTAGAATTACCATTCTTCTCCTCTCTTTTTTTAACAACTATTATTCTCCTTCTCTGTTCCAACGGAGAACATTCCCCTATTTTGTCTACCCATGAAACCAAATTTGATTTCCACCGCCAAACTATTGCTTACTACTATCCTTCTACCACATATCAATCATCCACAGAAGCAAGAAAGAAGGGTAATCACTCAGGGCATGGAGAAGTTTTTCAGATGATTTTTAATGAATGGTTCTCAATTCTTATACATATTTTTGTTAAACCGGCATAAACCGATATGTATACCGGTTGTGCCACGGTCGAACCATTTCACTTGCGAAACCGGCACACCGGCATAAACCGGTTTAACAACCTTGGTCTCGACCCTCATGGTTTTCGATTTGGGGTGCTGTTGATGCCAAGCTTAGAGCAGCTTGCTTCAATATGTTTAAGGTCCGGAGAGCGCTGATTTCCCAAAGCCTTTAACCACCTCCAGCTCCGTGCGAATACCTGAAAAAAAGGTCCCACCGGGAGGGGGGGGTCCTGGTTGGAACTTCCTCCGACGCTCAAATAGTAACCTGAGTGGAATAATATAAATACGATGACGTTAGACCTGGTTCGGTCCCACGGTCGTAATTGAGCGCCGTCGGCTATTTAATGCCGCCCGGTGGAGACTATCCACGATTCCATGGCTTAGTCCGCCAAATTGAGAGTGTGTTGAGTGTTAAGAGATTTAACACGTTTTTGGGAGATCGGGAGGAGAGAGAAAACGTTTTTAGAGAGAGAAAGTAGAGAGAGTGTATATTGTGTGTGAGATGTGTTGTGTGAATTAGTCGTAAGCGATTTATGTGGTGTGTGTGTGACTTGTTGTTGTTTATAAAGGGGGAGGGGTGCTCCCTATTTATAGAAAAAAGTCGTAGTTAAATTCCTCGACTTACGTTAACATTCACCAACATTCTCCATTATTCCCCTATACTCGTTAATATTCTCCATCATACACCAATATTCCTCATCCATTATTGTATATGGGAAAGTCCAAGTGTGTATGTGTAAGTAGGAGAAAGTGTAAGTATATAAAGGAGTATGAATATATGGAAAATGGGTAAATGAATTGGTTTTGGTTCTCTACGTATGCATGGCATTGCATGAACATGATTGTATGAGAAAGGAGTGGAAGAAGGAATGATGTTCTTGTCTTTCCTTTATTATTGTAGTATGTAGACGTGATAGTGGAATGGTTTTTCATGCATGTGTAGGTTAGTGAAGGAAATTAGGAGAAAGGAAGGGGAATATGAAAGAAAGAGAATGAGAGAGAAGGAAAAGAGATGAGTGGTTTCTGCCACTTCACATGACATGAAGGAAAAGAGATGTGGAAAAGACAAGGAAAGAAAAAGACAAAAGTTTGTATCATATGCTTTGTATGAGATAGGGGGAGAGAGAAACATGCCAAGGAAAGAAAGAAGAAGGGAATGGGTACGTGGGAAGGAAAGGAAGAAAGGACAAAAATAATGGTTATGAAAAGATAGAGAAAGTAAAAGGACAAAGAAGAAGTTTAGGAAAAAATAAGAAAGTGAATGAAGGTAAAGGAAAAAACAATAACAATAGTTAAAGGAAAAAAACAATCATAGGAGATGAAGGAGTCTGATGGTATAATACAAATTTTTGGGTATTTCAGGTACCGCAATGATTAACAATTTATCGAGTGTATTAATGAAAGGACACGTGTTTAATATTTTATAATTTTGTCGGTTAAGAACTGGGTCTATCAATTGCCCCCTTACCGATAGAAAAATTCGGAGTTCGTCCGGACATTTTCTGACGGTAAGTCGGTATTAGACCCAGTTTCAAACGTTGTTCCTATAAATACTGAATTCTCCATTTCCCAGCTTCATGCTCTCGTAGTTTTCCTCCCGTCTTTTTATTTCTCATAAGGAAAAAGCAGTTCACTACCCACAGTAAACTCTTGCTTCACTATTCCTAAAGTAAATTCTCATTTTACCTTTCGTAAAAATGGCAAGCTTACCCTTATCATCACGAGATAATCAACATTCAATGATTATACCGCCTTCCACGGTTGTGGTGGCAAGAGGATCGGATGCCAGTGGGTCTCAAAATATAGCACCTAACCCACTGGGTTTTAATGTCTGCCCTTGGGAGGTGATGTATCCTCTTGGTCGAGTGCCTTCGGAGTACCCAGCGGGTGGCCTGGGACGTGGTTTTACGCAAAGTGAAAAGTGGTTGCGAGAATTGTTGGTGTCGTATGGTATGCCTCATCATTGGAGCTATGCCATACCCAACAGATTTGTTTCTGCTGCAAGTCACCCATCATCATGGCGATCACTTTTCCGTTCTTCTCTGGAGTACGGCTTTCGATTGCCGTTGCCTGCCTGGTTGTGTGCGGTAATGCGGCGCAGTAAACTTTCAATTGATTCTATTAGTCCTTGTTTTTGGACTTTAATAGCTTGCTTTACCCTGTCATGCCGTCGAGCTGGGGTTCCACCATCCCCTGAGTTATTTTATGCTTGTTTTTTCTTTCGTCATGATCGAGTGGCTTGGGAACTGCACAAACGCAAGTCATCCAATAGCATTTGCACTTCACTTAGCCATCTGAAGGGGTCGTGGGAGACGGAGTTCTTTTATTTTCTTGCCCCGCCTAGTGAGTTTACCTCCGGAGGTATCACGGTTCCAGCTGACTGGAGTGAAGGTGTTACAGGTGGATTTCAGGATCCCGTGATTGAGGGAGAAATTGCTTTACAACATGCTCGGATTCTCCGGGAGAGACCCATTGATATAAGTACTCCTGGTGCTCGAGCAAGCTTGTTTCTTGCTGTTTATGGTAAAGGTACTTCATTTTTTACAGTACTTCCCTTTTTGTGACCGTATTTTCTAACTGTAATCCTTCCTTGCAGATTACTCTCACTTTCAGAGGTGTATGAAGAATAGGGAAGTGCCAGCAGTGCCTCACTCGTATGCCGGGGTGTCAATTCGTGAGAGACCAGATAATCCCCCGCGTGGACGGTCGAGAGTTCGTCATGATCAGACGAAGAGAACTCGTTCCTGGGTGAGAGGATCAGGAGATTCACCTACTGGGAAGGGTCGCTCTGAGGGGAGAGCCAGAGATGCCAAAGGAAAAACCCCAGTGGGCGGTAGGGGAACCCTGAAGCATCAGGGGGAGTCTTCAAGAGCCAGCAAAAGCGGAATTTTGGCTGGTGGTGTCATAACGTATGACAGCTTGTGTGATGCGGGGAAACACTACCCCGTCTTAGAAGATGTAGCCACAGGATCGAATTTTGCTTCTTCCATTTCAGAGGTGCTGATAACGATGTAATTGATTGTATTTGCACCCCTAATTCTTATCCGTTTGAGAGGCATAGTCGTGTATTTTGGCCTATTTTACGCCGGGTTGTGCTATTTTGTCATATTTCAGGTCCCAGGCGTCAAAGGAAAGGCTAAGCACGAGTTTCGGGGCATTCGGAGGTCATTTCGTCAAGCTGGAGCCAAAACACGGGCAGACCTAAAACAGAATACGGCCGTGTTCTGTGGCCGTGTTTTTACTGCCGAGAGCAAATTCAAGTTGGGCAGACATTGGCTAAAAACACGGGCAGAAGCACGGCCGTGTCCACAAAGCACGGCCGTGTCCACCATCAAACACGCCCGTGTTTCGCGCAATGCACAGGCCGTGTAATTAACCCTAGCCAAAACACGGGCGGGCTGAAACATTACACGGCCGTGTCCTCGACCGTGTTTTGGCCACTGATGCCTTTTTAAGCAGATTTTCAGCCAAAGAGAGGGAGATTTGGAGTTTTTGAGAGAGAGAACGATTCCTAGAGAGAGAAAGCGACGAACAAGAGTCTCCAAGTGCCCTAGATTGATCTTCAACACCATTGGAGGCCAGCTTGAGCTTGGAGGAGTGCCAATCAACGTCCAGGAGCAGGAATCCATCCTTCACAGTATGAATTCCGTGCCTGATTCTGCTTTTGCTTTCTTCTCCATGGAGTAGTTCTCCCATTCATCTGGGTATGGAGAACCCTAGATTTGTATGTTAGGCTTTGATTGTATGAACCCAAGTACTGATTCTATGATTGATTATATTCGATTGAGGTTTGAATGATTGAATGACTTGAATCCTGATCAAATTCCTGTTGTTTCTGCTTTAACCTAGAATGAGAATATCTGCCTAGGTTAATAGAGTATCCTTGATTGAAGGTAGGGAGTTGGTGACTTTAGTCGAGGAACCAACTCACTATTCTGTACCGGATTTACTCCGGTAGTGGAGGTTTTGTTCTTAGGGCCTCAATCTGTCTACTCCGGTGGAGGTTAGTCGCCCGCTAGAGATTCAGATTGAGAGGGTCTGAAGACCTTTAGTCGAGACTTCAGGCTGTTTAAGAATCTTCCGCAGTATAACTTTCATAGAAACTGAACTTGGTAATTACAATCCGGCTTAACTGCAGTCTAGGGGGAACCATATCCGGGTGACCTCTTTAACCTGAATACAACAGTTTACTTGTTTTGTTAGTTTGATAGTTTAGACTTGCATTCCAGTTTCATTGCTAGATAACAAGAATTCACTGAGTAGTCATCAGATCTAGGACCCGGGTTGACATATAAACCTAACCCGCTATACTACGCTTTAGGAAATGGTTTCACTTGGCCAATTCCTGGAGTGACAGTAGAGTCGAGTCAAGTTTTTGGCGCCGTTGCCGGGGACGACTAGGTTGTTGAAGAAAAGTGATTTCTGTTAATTTAGCTTTTCTTTTTGCTTTGTTTGCTTTGTCCCACTTGTGCCTTCACGGGTTTGCTTGCTTGAGTGTGTGCAGGTAGTGTATGACCCGTAGCCAGTCAGGAGGTTTACTGCCGTTGAATCCAGAGATTGACCGCACCTGTCTCCAGCTCAGGAGACAACAGCGAGCTAGACTGGCTACGGAAGAGCGCATAGACGGCCACGTGAGCAGTGATTCTGAGGAGGAGTACGAGATGGAAGACTACAATCAACACCCGGGGAATCCTCAGCAGGCTCTCCCGGTGAATCAGGTCCTGGGGAACAACCCCATACCCCAGGATCATGGAGTTCATCATCCACCGCAGCCGGGTCCCACCTTGGAGTACTACTACACTCCGCGGATTGCTGACATCTGCCCGGTCATCCTCTACCCGCCTATTCCAGCGAACAACTTCGAGATCAAGCCATGCTGGATTCAGCTCATCACATCTTCTATCCAGTTTCATGGCTTGAAGGATGAGGAGGCCAGGGTACATCTTTCCCGTTTTCTGCAGCTGACGAACGGGTTCAAGCTGAATGGTGTCCCGGATGATGCAATCTGCCTTCATCTCTTCCCCCATTCTCTGGCGGGGAATGCTAAGAGGTGGTTGGAGACCCAGCCTCCATTGTCCATCACCTCTTGGGACGATCTGGCGGACAAGTTCGTGCACAGGTACTATCCGGCATCGAAGACTACAGAGATTCAGCGGGAGATCACTCACTTCCGCCAAGAGCCAGATGAGTCACTTCGTGATGCTTGGGGGCGGTACATGGGATACTTCTGGCAGTGTCCCCATCATGGCTTTAGTGATGCTTTCACAGTGGGGAACTTCTACAGTGCTCTCTCTCTAGATAGCCAGAGGGTGATTGAGTCTCTATGCCCAGGAGGGGATGTTCTCACTAAGACTCCACCCGAGCTGAATCAGATGATTAATACCTTGGCTGCCAGAGATCATTCTTGGGGGCAGAGCAGCAGAGGCAGACATTCCCGAGACCGTGGTGTGCACGCCATGGAGTCCAGATCCGGACTCGAGCAGCAGGTAGCTGAGCTAGTGCAGACATTGAAGCAGCCCAACAGTCTTATTCCGGGCAGAGGTATGGCTACACCTCCAGTTGCTCAGTGTCAGTGGTGTGAGAGCTCGAATCACTTAGTAGAAGACTGCCAGGCTATGAGGGAGTCTACTACTCCCCAAGAGCAGTTGGACTTCATCGCCAATGCTCGGCGCCTCGACCCGTACAGCAACACATATAATGAGGGGTGGCGCCAGCATCCTAACTTCTCTTGGGGCAGCAACACCACTAAGCCACCTGGTTTCCCAGCACCAGCTGGTGGCTTTCAGCAGAGGCAGCCCTATCAGGCTCGACAGGGGCCAGTTCCACAGCAGCAGCCCTACCAGCCTAGGCAGGGGCAACCACAGCAGCAGCCCTACCAGCCTAGGCAGGGGCAATCATTCCAGCAGCCCCAACGCCAGTTTGCCGAGCCAGCAGCAGCCCCAGTTCCAGATACTCAGATGAAGAAGCTGGAAAATATTCTGGCTTCGTTCATGACTAGTACTCAGGCGGTTATCACGTCACTGGAGGCAGGTCAGAGGAACCAGGGTGCCATCTTGCAAGATCTGCAGAATCAGGTGGGTATCTTGGCCCGTCAGAACACCACCAGGGCACCGGGGACTTTGCCTGCCACCACTGTTCCGAATCCTCGTGATCCTAACCAGCTCTAGCAGCTTGATGCCATCACTACCAAGAGTGGCAAGACCACATCAGCTGCTCCTGCTCAGCCCAGTCGAGATGAGCCACTGCCTGCTTCAACACTTCCAGCTGATACTGCAGAAGTGGGGGAAGACACAACCACGCCTGCTCCCAAGTCACAGCCAGTGGTTAAGGAGCATGTACCTCAGCTTCCCTTCCCCACTCGCCTGCATAAAGACAAGCTGGAGACTGAGTTTGCCAAGTTCATGGCAATGTTGAAGCAGGTCAACATCAGCATGCCATTCGTGGAGGCACTATCAAAGATGCCCAAGTATGCCAAGTTCATGAAGGACCTCCTCACCAACAAGAAGAAACTTGGGGATCTTTCGACAGTGATGCTGAGCGAGGAGTGTTCTGCCATCCTGCAGAACAAGCTGCCTGAGAAGCGAAAAGACCCAGGGAGTTTCACTATCCCTCTTGTTATTGGCAGCATGCATGTAGGAAAGTCCTTGGCGGACCTAGGCGCTAGCATAAATGTCATGCCTTATAATCTGTTTAAGAAGCTAGGCCTAGGTGAACCTAGAACTACTGGGATGAGCATTCAGTTAGCTGATCGTTCTATCGTGCATCCTAGGGGTATCATTGAGGACTTGCTTGTTAATGTGGGTGCATTCACATATCCTGTTGACTTTGTTATTTTGGATATAAATGAGGATGTGGATGTACCTTTGATTTTAGGTAGACCGTTTCTCGCCACCGCCAAGGCGCTTATTGATGTGCATAGTGGTAAATTGATTCTGCGTGCTGGTGATGAACATGCTACTTTTTCTGTGTCTGAGAATGGGAAACACCCTCATTTGCATGATGACATAGATTACTGTGATATGCTTGCTGATTTTGAGACCGCACTCGCCATAACGAGTGCGGGTACTGACGATGTTCTTGAGCGTTGTCTTTTGCTAGGTGAGCAGGCATCGCAGGAGCCGCAGCTGGCGGAGCAGTTAGCCGAGTTGGAGAGTAGCCCCTTCTTGGAGGGCGACAGGCTGTTCAAACCGATCTCATCCTCCACCCGCATCGCCACTTCCTTGGAGGAACCACCAGAGCTGGAGCTTAAGCCCCTCCCTCCTCATTTGGAGTATGCATTTCTCCGGGAGGGGAATAAGCTGCCAGTCATCATCAGCTCGACCCTCACACCCGAGCAGAAGACCAGACTGGTGACCTTGCTGAAGCGATACGAGCGAGCTCTTGCATGGAAGATCACAGACATCCGGGGGATCAGCCCTTCTTTCTGCTCCCACCGGATACTGATGGAGGATGAGATGCGGCCAGTGAGATAGCCGCAGAGGAGACTGACACCGAACCTGGAGGCTGTGGTTCGGGCAGAGATCGTGAAGCTGCTGGACGCGGGGATCATCTTCGCCATTTCTGACAGCGAGTGGGTCAGTCCCACCCAGGTGGTACCCAAAAAGGGTGGGATGACTGTGGTGCCTAACGAGAAGAATGAGCTGATTCCGATGCACACGGTGATTGGGTACCGTGTCTGCATTGACTATCGGCGTCTCAACGACGCCACTCGAAAGGACCACTTCCCGCTACCATTCATTGATCAGATGCTGGAGAGATTGGCGGGGCACGAGTTCTACTGTTTCCTGGATGGGATGTCCGGGTACTTCCAGATTCCGATTGCACTGGAGGACCAGGCGAAGACCACTTTCACCTGCCCCTTCAGCACCTTTGCATACCGGAGGATCCCATTCGGGCTATGCAATGCCCCGGCTACTTTTCAGCGATGCATGCTCGCTATCTTTGACCGTCTGGTCGGCGAGATCATGGAGGTGTTTATGGACGATTTCTCGGTTTATGGAGACTCATTCTCTCACTGTCTCCATAACCTGGAACTTGTCCTTAAACGGTGTGAAGAAACGAACCTGGCACTGAGTTGGGAGAAGTTTCACTTCATGGTTCGGGAAGGCATAGTTCTTGGGCATAAGATCTCCAAGATGGGGATTGAGGTGGACAGAGCGAAGATCGAGACCATCAGCAAGCTGCCTCCTCCTACATCTGTTAAGGGGATCCGGAGTTTTCTTGGTCATGCAGGGTTCTACAGGCGGTTCATCAAGGATTTCTCGAAGATTTCTCGAAGGATGCCCCCTTCCAGTTCACTGATGCATGCACAGCGCCTTTCACGACTTTGAAGGAGAAGCTCACACAAGCTCCTATCATGGTTGTTCCTGACTGGTCCTTACCATTTGAGATTATGTGCGATGCCAATGACTTTGCTGTTGGAGCTGTGTTGGGGCAGAGGCGTGATCAACATTTCCGACCTATCTACTACGCCTCGAAGACCTTGAATGATGCCCAGGAGAACTACACCACCACGAAGAAAGAGCTGCTCGCGGTGGTGTTTGCCTTCGATAAATTTCGTCCTTATCTGGTCTTGTCCCATGTGATTGTGTACACTGATCACTCCGCGATTCGATACTTGATGAGCAAGGCTGATGCCAAGCCTCGGCTCATACGATGGATCTTACTGCTGCAGGAGTTTGACATTGAGATTCGGGACAAGAAGGGAGCAGAGAATGTTGCTGCTGATCACCTCTCCCGGTTGGACGCACCCCCTGCGGACAACCTGGAGGAGGAGATCAATGACTCCTTTCCTGATGAGAGACTGTTGATGATGTGCCTGGTGGAGAGTGTCACCCCCTGGTATTCTGATTTTGAAAATTATCTTGTGGGCCAGCAGCTGCCCAAGGGGATGACCACTCACGCCAAGAGGAAGTTCTTCTCCGACTTGAAGTACTACTTCTGGGATGACCCCCATCTCTTCAGGATCGGAGCCGACGGGATCATCCGTCGATGTGTTATGGAGAGTGAGATGGAGGGCATTCTATCTCACTGTCATGAAGGACATGCTGGCGGTCACCACGGAGGAAACCGCACGGCGAGGAAGGTGCTCCAGTCGGGCTTCTACTGGCCCACGCTCTTCAAGGACGCAGACGCCTTCGCACGCAGGTACGACCGATGCCAGAGGTCAGGTAACATCTCTGTCTGTGATGAGATGCCCCAGAATGTGTTTATAACTTGTGAGATTTTTGATGTCTGGGGTATCGACTTCATGGGCCCCTTCCCTCCATCCTTTGGTAATACATATATCCTTGTTGCTGTTGACTACGTCTCTAGGTGGGCTGAGGCGCAAGCTTTGCCCACTAATGATGCTAGACGTGTTTGTGGTTTTTTGAAGCAGCTATTCTCCCGGTTCGGGACACCTAGAGCCATCATAAGCGACCGCGGTACCCATTTCCAGGGTCAATTCGATAAATTGTTATCTCGCTATGGTGTAAGTCACAAGGTGTCCGTGGCCTATCATCCTCAAACCAGTGGCCAGGCCGAGCTGACGAACCGGGAGCTCAAGCGGATCTTGGAGAAGACGGTGAACCTATCCCGCAAGGATTGGTCCACCAAGCTCGATGATGCTCTGTGGGCATATCGCACTGCCTACAAGACGCCCATTGGTACCTCACCGTACCGGCTTGTCTATGGAAAGGCATGCCATCTGCTTGTGGAGCTAGAGCATAAGGCCTTCTGGGCCCTTAAGCTGCTAAACTTGGATGTTAGTGTTGCAGGTGATGAGCGAAAAATGCAGATGTTGGAGCTGGAAGAGTGGCGTTATCACGCCTATGAGAACACCAAGCTGTACAAGGAGCGCACGAAGCGCCTCCACGATGCACGGTTGCGGGGTCCGAAAGAGTTCCAGGTTGGTGATCGAGTTCTCCTTTATAACTCTCGCCTTAAACTCTTTCCCGGAAAACTCCGTTCCCGGTGGTCTGGACCGTACACGGTCACACAGGTGTTCCCGTATGGCACGATTGAGATTGCTAGCCCGCAAACTGAGCCGTTTAAAGTGAATGGCCATCGTCTCAAGCTCTACCTGGGAGACGAGGTCGAACGTGCGGAGTTAGCAGTGGAGCTCGCGGACCCTTAGTTCCGCAATTGGCGTCCAGCTAAAAGACGGTAAAGAAGCGCTTGTGGGGAGGCAACCCCACCACGGTTTGCATTTCTACCTTTGTTTTTATTTATTTATTTCATCTTTGTCGGTTTTTTGAGTCTTTGCGTAAGTTAGGAGTCAGTCTGGAAAGTTTTTCGTGCCTCGGGCGGTTCGTTTTGATGTGTGATTGGGTAAATTTTAGAGCCGGGGCACGAATGAATCTTGGTGGTTTGAGATTGAAAATTGAAAAAAATTGCATTTCAGGCTCGGCAATGAAAACACGGGCAGCAGGGGGCCAAAACACGGCCGTGTTTCGCCCTGAGCCCGCCCGTGTTTTGCTTTATGCTCTCGGCATAAAAAGCACGGGCTGAAAACACGGTCGTGTTTCGCCCAGAGCCCGCCCGTGCTTTAATGGGGCTAAACACGGGCGCGGAGCACCCGAAACACGGCCGTGTAATGGCACGCCCGTGTTTCGGCCTTCCCCCTATAAAAGCGATTTTTTCAGCCAAAAATCAGATCAGTCCATTTTTTTTTCAAACCCCCCCAGCCCCCCTCACCGGAAAATCGCCCCCTTCACCTTCTCCCTCGATTTTCCGGCCATAACTCCCTCTCCCGACCTCCAAATCACAAACCGCGACTGCCCCCACGCTCCTGGCGTCAAGGAGCACATTCCCCAAAGATTTGGGCTGGTTTGGCCGAGGTTGGGTCACCGGCGGTGAGTTTTCCGGCGAGTCTCCGGTGTGTTTTCCGGCGACTTTGGGTGCTTCTTTCCACTTTCTTCACCTCTCTCGTGGTCTCTTCTTGCGTCTCCAGGTGTGTTCTCCTTTTCTTTTACTATATTTATGGAGAATCGATACCTAGAGTTAGGTGAAGAACTTCTGATTGTGGAATCCATGGTTTGGGAAAATTTTGGGTTTGGGGGTGTGATTGTGCTGATTGCATGTTGCCTGGTATGCGTGCTATGTGCATTTTCTGTGGCCTCGCTTGGCGCTATTTAGGACAGTTGTGGTATGCTTGTTTTACCGGGGGCCTAGTCCACTGTCCGAATCGCTCGATTTGAGGGTCCCGGTATATTTTGCTGTGTGTTTCTCGTATGATGGGTATGTGTATGTCGCCGGTAGTCTAGTCCACTGTCCATATCTTTCGATATGAGGGATCCCGGTGTGGGTTTGGCCTAACATTGACCCCGTTTGCTTGTGCACACTTTGTCCTTCATTGTGTTTTGCAGGATCATGGAGACTTACCTCGACCAGCTGAACATCGTCCAGCGCCACAAGCTGCGGAACCTCCGTACCCGCAGCATCGACGAGCACCATCACCTCGAGTGGGAGGTGTTCGGAGAGCTTCATGCCAGGCCACAGATGGAGGCCGTGGTCCGCTCCCCTGCTTGGCGGCGTCTTCTCACCCTTGCCGAGCCGACCTACAAGGAGCTCGTCTTGGAGTTCTACGCCACCTTCAACCACAACTCGAGGGGGAACTCCGACCATTCTAATGCAGTCCAGTTCACACTCGGCGGGGTGGAGCACTCCCTCAGCTATTGGGAGTTCGCCAATGCCCTTCGTCTAAATTCCCGGACAGCAGGCGGGCCTCCTCTCCGCTTGGATCTCTCTGATCCCACGGACTTCGCTTCCCAGGCGTACTTCCAGACCATTTGCCTGCCGGACAGTGTGGATGAAGAGTACGTGGCCAGCCAGACGCGGGCTGCTCTCCTCTGTCTGGAGTGGCGGATCCTCAACCACCTCATGTGCACTTCTTACACACCCAGCGCCGGCTCGTCCAATCGGGTCACACTCCGGACTCTCTGGTTGATGCATGCGATGGGTCGCTCCGAGGACATCATCCAGCTGGGATCTGTGCTTGCCCGGACGTTCACTAAGCCAGCCATCAGCACGTCTCGCGCCCTCGTTTGTGGCCCGGTGATCACCGCCTTGGCCCGCATCTACGGGGTGGACTTCACAGAGATGACACTGGTCCGAGGGCCGAGCCCACTCAGCGAGGCTAATCTTCGCCACCAGCACTTGATTGCGCAACACGGGCGTGTGCGCTGGATTGAGGGCCTTCCTCAGCCACCTATACCTGCCGAGGGCGACCAGGCCGAGTCGAGCGCCGCTGGTGGACGCCGAGTTAGTCGCGTTCCTCGTCGTGCCCAGGCTCCCGCGAGCCCCTCTCCTGCTCCCCGGTCTCCATCTGCAGGACCACCTCCTCCGGTGGTGGTCCCCATCTCCGACCAGTTGGCAGCGATCTCGCAGCAGAATGAGCGCATCCTGGCCGGCCAGGAGCTCATCCACACCCGCCTTGATCGTGAGCGGGACCGAGGGCGTCGTCTCATGTCGGGGCAGCACTACATCATGTCCTACTTGGGCGGGGGGTTCTTTGTATGAATTGGAACGTATATATGTGTGCTTGGAGCCTAGTCCACTGTCCAAATCGCTCGATTCGAGTGCTCCAAGCATGGCTGTTTGCTTGATGATTGATCGTATTGGCACTGTGGATGTGATTAGTGAACTGAATGGCTTTTGACTTGATACATGACAACTTGAGTGTGACTTAGACAACTTATTTGTGATGACTGAGATGTGCAGTAGAATTGTGTAGGGGTTCAGTTTCTCAATTGTCTGCCCACCAAATGTGATTTGGTTTGATCACTTGCTTTTGACAGTCAGTTATGCATCTAGTTCAGGGAATCAGAACGAGAGATAGAGCATATAGGTAGCCATGTGAGATTTGAGCCTGCTCGTTTCTTTCTTGTGCGATAGTTTCCTCTTCCATGATGTGCAGCATTCACGTTGTCATTAGCTAAGATGATGGAGGCATAGGATTAACCCGCGACCAAATTGACTGTCCTGGTGTGTCATACCCCTAGTCAGCCCCTTTGAGCCGTGTGTTTTCCTTTCTTTCGATCTTCAATGAAAAGACACCCTTTTGCATCTTTTAGAAGGTTCCACAGAGTGATTTTTACATGTTCTCTGCTGTTTCTGCTAAATGTAATGTGAGGGTTGGAGGTAGTGCTTAAAAGTTGGGCAGGTATTTGAAAATGTGCAGAGGTGGTGGTTCTCTTAAGAAATGAAAAAATAATGAAAGAAAATCAAAGAAAAAAAATGAAAGCAAAAGAGAGCCACCACCAAAAATCTGAATAATGCCCATGTAGTAGTGTTTCTTAGCAGTCTGGCTTAGAAATACTAGCATTTATGTAACCTCCTTCGCTCTTGTGCTTTGAACTTGGGTAATGCAGAATAGCAGAAAGAAAGTTATTGGTTCGATTGATTGTGAATCTGTTGGGTTTGGAATTGTGGAACCTTGTGCTGTATGAATACTTCCACCACCTAAAAGGCCTTTTCCCCATGTCCAAGACCCTAGCCAGTCATCTGAACCTGTGTCTAAGACCTCCGGATTAGTTAGTGATGACACCCCATATGTGAACTCTAGCACTTAGAGGCTGCATTCATGGTGAAGAGATGTTAGGGATTGAGAGATTAAGCATGCACATTTTTCGCATCATATTGTCCTGGCCCCACTGGTCGAGAGTGAGCGATTCATTTTCTCTTATTCTCTATACTCTTTATCCCGGTGAGGACCTAGATTGCTCGGTCTTAATTCTGATATCTTGAACTTTGTGCATGATGTGACTGTTTTGAAGAAGTGGTTGAGTCAAGTCTATGTTGGTTGGTGAACAGAAGGGAGACTCTTCCTTTGCTCGATGTTACTGCATTCGAATGTCATCTGTGGTGGTTGTCTAGGTTGTCATTGAAGTTGTTCATGTGTTACTGATCGAAAGCCAGTATGATCCACGTGTTTTGTGCCGATATATCATGCCTTGTTGTTTTGAGCTTACCTTGTGTCTGACTTGGTTTGCTTGAGGACAAGCAAACGGTTAAGTGTGGGGGAATTTGATAACGATGTAATTGCATGTATTTGCACCCCTAATTCTTATCCGTTTGAGAGGCATAGTCGTGTATTTTGGCCTATTTTACGCCGGGTTGTGCTATTTTGTCATATTTCAGGTCCCAGGCGTCAAAGGAAAGGCTAAGCACGAGTTTCGGGGCATTCGGAGGTCATTTCGTCAAGCTGGAGCCAAAACACGGGCAGACCTAAAACAGAACACGGCCGTGTTCTGTGGCCGTGTTTTTACTGCCGAGAGCAAATTCAAGTTGGGCAGACATTGGCTAAAAACACGGCAGAAGCACGGCCGTGTCCACAAAGCACGGCTGTGTCCACCATCAAACACGCCCGTGTTTCGCGCATTGCACAGGCCGTGTAATTAACCCTAGCCAAACACGGGCGGGCTGAAACATTACACGGCCGTGTCCTCGACCGTGTTTTGGCCACTGATGCCTTTTTAAGCAGATTTTCAGCCAAAGAGAGGGAGATTTGGAGTTTTTGAGAGAGAGAACGATTCCTAGAGAGAGAAAGCGACTAACAAGAGTCTCCAAGTGCCCTAGATTGATCTTCAACACCATTGGAGGCCAGCTTGAGCTTGGAGGAGTGCCAATCAACGTCCAGGAGCAGGAATCCATCCTTCACAGTATGAATTCCGTGCATGATTCTGCTTTTGCTTTCTTCTCCATGGAGTAGTTCTCCCATTCATCTGGGTATGGAGAACCCTAGATTTGTATGTTAGGCTTTGATTGTATGAACCCAAGTACTGATTCTATGATTGATTATATTCGATTGAGGTTTGAATGATTGAATGACTTGAATCCTGATCAAATTCCTGTTGTTTCTGCTTTAACCTAGAATGAGAATATCTGCCTAGGTTAATAGAGTATCCTTGATTGAAGGTAGGGAGTTGGTGACTTTAGTCGAGGAACCAACTCACTATTCTGTACCGGATTTACTCCGGTAGTGGAGGTTTTGTTCTTAGGGCCTCAATCTGTCTACTCCGGTGGAGGTTAGTCGCCCGCTAGAGATTCAGATTGAGAGGGTCTGAAGACCTTTAGTCGAGACTTCAGGCTGTTTAAGAATCTTCCGCAGTATAACTTTCTTAGAAACTGAACTTGGTAATTACAATCCGACTTAACTGCAGTCTAGGAGGAACCATATCCGGGTGACCTCTTTAACCTGAATACAACAGTTTACTTGTTTTGTTAGTTTGATAGTTTAGACTTGCATTCCAGTTTCATTGCTAGATAACAAGAATTCACTGAGTAGTCATCAGATCTAGGACCCAGGTTGACATATAAACCTAACCCGCTATACTACGCTTTAGGAAATGGTTTCACTTGGCCAATTCCTGGAGTGACAGTAGAGTCGAGTCAGGTGCTTTTAGTTCTTCCTTTGTTTTTTGGTCTTCAACTTATATATGATATATTGACGTTGCTATTTTGCGAATAGCTGGCGAGGTATGTTGTTGCCATGGAGTGTCGCCTAGCTATGGCAGAGCTTCGGGTTACTGAGGCCCGAGAGGAGGCAGCTCGCCTTTTGGATGAAATGAGAATCCAGATGAAGACAAGAGAAGAGCAATTTTCTTCCAAGTCTTATGAATGGAATGCAGAAATGGTGGAGGCTCAATAACATGTTGAGGCAGCCACACAGGAGCTGCGTACCTCAGAAGCAGCTGAGGCTGGCCTTCGTGAAAAAGTTGAGCAACTTCATGCCAGTATGCGTGAGGAGAGGCTAATTAGGAGGTCTTTACGGTCGGAGAATACTAATTTACACTCGGAAAACACCACCCTCCGATCAGAGAACAATACTTTACGTCATCAGCTACAGATGGCAGCTTCAGGAGTGATGGATAATGTCCATCGTTTGGCTAGGAAAGCGATTTATTATATGTATCCTGCAAGAGATCTTGACAACGTTCGCCTTCGTCAAGTGGTGGAGGGATGTGCGACTGCTTCGGAACCTGAGGAGGTGACATCCCAAATTATGAATGTCGTTGAGGAATGCGCTGGTGCTTCTGAGCCTAGGGAGGCAGTAAGCCAGATTTCGAATGTGGAGATTGAATTTCACTGCGTCTCGCCACTTTTAGATGCTGTTTCTGAAGCATCTCCAATGGTTGGCACCCCAGTGCATTCAGACTTTAATATCTCGACGGCAATGTTGTTGGCTGCAACCGAGTTACTCGGCCCAGAGTTTTTTGAGAACTAAAGTTTATGAAATTCCAACTTGAAATAACATTGTAAAATATTATGTAAGATACTCGGTCATGTGTATAGCTTAGCTTATAAACACCTGTAGTAGGTAATGTACGATGGGCTTCCAAAATTTTGTAATAATAAACACGCTGCTCTTATTGCTAGCTATCTTTCACCCTACCATGGTATTTATTTAGGGAACAAATCCACTGGGGTGTTTATTTAAAAGATAGCAAGGGTATACCATATTTATGGAGTAAAGTATCTCCTTAGATGCATAGTGTTCCAAGTCCTTGACATGTCTTGACCATCAGGGAGTGATAGTTTTACAGTATTTGGTCCCACCACTTTACGCACTTTGTAAGGACCCTCTCACTGGGGCGGTGAACTTTCCTTGACTTGGAATGTGTTTGAAGTTTCTCCTCAGAACCCACTCCCCTTCCCCGATGGGTCGATTTCTCACCTTGGCGTTGTAGTAACGCGCGATCCTCTCTTTGGAAGCGGCGAGTCGCAAAAGTGCTTCCTCTCGACGCTCCTCGATGAGATGTAGATCATGAGTGAGCTCGATTTGATTTTCATCAGGGTGGAATGCTTGGATTCTGTAAGAGGAGAGCTCCATTTCAATTGGCAGCACAACATCGGTGCCATTAGGCTTGGCAACGGGTCGGATCGGGGCCGGGGAAGGGCTATCCGTCACCCACCCGAAAGCCTGTCGGGCTTTCCCCGAATCCGCCCCACTAGCCATCCCGGGCTCATTTTCAGGCCCAACCCCGAATCCATCGGGTAGCGGGCTCCAATCGGGTTTATCGGGTATACCCGCTACCATTGTCAGCCTAGAAAAAACAAAAACAAAACAAACAAAATTCAAAGGATGCAACCTGGAAATTCTTAGAGAAAAATCAAATGGCATTCCAACTCTAATCTTCCAAAATCTGAACTGTCTAAACAAATCCAAAAGGATCAAGGCATCCAATTTATAGTTTGAAGTTCATAAACTTAAATCCAGGCAATAAAACAGAGTAGCAAGTTGAAAAACTTCAATCCACCAAAGTGCAGCAAGGCAAACTTAAAGAAAATGAGCCATCAAGCTCAAATTAAACAACAGCAACTCTCCAGCAGTAGGCAGCAACAACTCTCCAACAGGCAGCAACAGCAACTCTCCAGTCTCAACTCTCCAGCAGGCAACAGCAGCAAGTCTCTCCAGCAGCAGCAGCAACAAGCACTCAACAGCAGCAGTCACATGCTTGATCTTCAAGCATCAAAGTCCAGGAGTGCACGATCTTGAAAATCTGTGACCACATACATATTTGTTCAGTATTCACCAACTTTAAAATTGAAATTACTAACTAATTCTTCAGTATTCACTAACCTCATTTCTTAAAGTCTTCACAACTAGGATCCTCCATTGTCAATGCAGAAAAACAGTTATCCAATCCGTTAATCCCCTCCTTTCCAGCATCTGCAGACAAAAGAAAAATGAATTGAGTTAGTTAATTTCACATTCAACCACAAACAGAGCTGGAAACAATTAAATAAACCCTTACCTTTGCTAATATCATCCTTAATCCAGGTACGGGTGCACATGATTGCCTCAACAGTTTCAAAGTGCAGCCTACTCCGGTGAGGATCCAGTAGCCTACCACCGGAGCTGAAGGCTGATTCTGAGGCCACAGAGGTCACTGGTACAGCAAGCAAATCTCTTGCTACCTCTTGCAACAGAGGGTATTTTCCAGCATTCACCCTCCACCAATCCAATACACCAACATTAGGAGCTCGAGGACTGACACCCTCACTCAGATAATGGTCTAATTCAGAGCACAATGAAGTTGTTTTAGACCTTTTCCTTCGGCT